CAATCAAGCTTTACTTGTTGACCCTACTAAGGATGTATTTATTTTTGTTTGGCAACTTTTGCAAGATACACACTGTCAAAATCTCTGGTGCTTTCAGTCTAATACATAAGGACCTATTTTTAATGGAAACAAAGTTTCATTTTTGGTGGCTTTATTTTTCTTACAAAATTGTACTCTTGGCATAAAACACTGACTTTGTAAATGACAACATTCACGGTGCTAAAGTGTGTGCTTAATACCATTTATTTAAATTCAAATGCCTTCACACTATGATCATAACTCACTCTACGAGTGACACTCAATGGCTTATGTCAACAGGACACTGAAAATATCATCCCACGGTCAAAAAATGATCAGCATCATAATGGTTTTTGGCAAGTCAGTGTTTTTTAGAGCACTTTTTGATAATGAAAGTTAAGTGTTTTGGTAATACCTTTAAATCATGAAAATCTGGGTATTAATATAGCTACATTCAAAGTTACTCATTTCTAAGCATCACTAAAATTAAATTAATGAACTTTTAAAAGAGGGTTGTATGAGCAATCCATCAAAGTGTTTCAATTTCATGCAAAAGGATTGTTTTTTTAGAAGAAAAAAAAACTATCATTGTGTTGGTGCTTTCACTTTCCTATGTCATTTATACTGTAAATTGAGCCATTCTAATGGTGCATTTTTAACATTTTGAGGAAAAAAAAAGTCTACCTTTGTGTTATTTCAGTTTTTTTTTCCAGGTTTACTTTTTGTCAGCGACTGTTTTTAATGTTCCTTACCTTAGGTTCATTGAAGAAACCTGGACTGTGAATATTACATGTAGTTGTATGTCTGTGGTGCTTAGTAAATGTGCTTTTTATACACTGAGGAACATGAAACAGGGTAAGCTCAGTGTCAGTTTCAGAGGGCAGCTGGCTTGCTGTGGGGTAATTATGTAATCTAACTGTAAGATAAAACAGGTCAGATTTGTACAGTAAATTAATTTACCTTTTTGGAATTACTGTTATAGATTTTGTGTTGTAAAGAATGCTAACAGCCTATTTCATTGTATTTCTTTGGGTTTCAACTGATTTTATATCATAAGGTGCTATCCAACCTGCTAGAAACATACAATGTGAGACTCTTTGGACAGTGAGAAGGCTTTTAAATAATGTACAGTACAAACCTGTCATATACCTCAAAACTAGTTGGGCAATAGGAATATATCATATTTTTCTTTCTTCCTTTGTGTATTACTTTCAAAAATGTTGATAACTGTTCAACTTCAGGCCACCAAAAGGCATAAAAGTTCATTTCTTACTTTCTTATCGATCTGCTAGAAAGTATTACTTGAACTTTAATCTTTGATGTTACTGTAAAATCAGGGACATTTTCAACTAATTGTGTGTTCATCTCCTGTATTCATCTGGTCTTCTTCTCATTCAGGTACCTACCAATGCATCCTGAATCAGATTCATGTCTACTCTACTTCAAAGACAAAAAATATTTTGTGAGGGAAAAAAAGAAATACTTCCCTGCAATGTTTTACTTCTATTTTAGCTAGTGGGATGGTGGTAATCTTTTAAAGGTAATTTGAACATATATGCACTGAGCTGACTAAAGGGAAAGTATGATATTGACTTAGTAAAAAGCAATGTATTTGCTTTTGCTATGAGGTAAGACCAGGGCAGTGATTAACGTAGTTGCACATCTTTGTGCCTGTGTATAGTTAAATTTATTTATAACCACTAAGCAATTGTATAATGATTTTTCTTCCCTGTCTTTTTGATTTAATTAATGCGATATATAGTGGAATGACTGTCATGTTATAGTAAGAACTTAGCCCACTCTTCCAACATACTCATTTCTGAAAGCACTTCATTTCTTTTTCAGGAAAAAAAATAATGTAATAAAGAATTACAAAACTTTTTATTTAAACAGATTTGTAAATGTGTTAAAAAAAATAAATAAATTATGTCACATTGTACATACCAAGAACCTGTATTGCAGGAATACAACTCATTCTTTGATGTCGACGTAGGTTCTCCTTGTTCTGTCAAATCGACCCACAGCTCCTCTATCGGCAATCCTCGTCATATCTCTACGTATTCTTTCACCTCTTTCAGGTTAACAGAATGATCACGGTTAGATTATCCAGGAAGTCTGTAAATGTGTGCTCACTGTCACAGCAATGTTTACAGCTATAGTGTCCTGTTCGCTCAGATGTTAGAAGTTCTAGTTTTTTTAACTGTTCCAATTTTGTAAAATAAATCTACAAAAAAAAATGTTGAATTTCGTTGTACAGAACCCAGCTACAGTAGCAGGTTGTGGTTGAGAAAGCCGAGGTGTCTAAGATATAGCGGGTTAAAAGCATAGCCATACTTGAAGATGCTTCAGAGTGTTTCTGAGTGAGTCAACATTACTTGAATGACTTTCTGGGCTTAACTAGTGCGCTCCATGTGCTCAGCTCAAAGGTTAAGCTAACAGTTGATGCACACTTGGTCGTTTTGCAGTTAGACACTAAGGGTAGTAAAAAAAAAGTGCAACTTCTTGCCTGTCATTTTATTTTTTAAGGCTTCCCTTGTTCTCCTGAAGTTTGGTATGCTACAAAAAATGGAATTAAGGATGGGTATTAATACTGTAAGTATTGTAATGTAATGAATGCAGTTTATTTGAAAGCTGTTTATTATATCATTCCTGATATTGCTGAGATGTGGGTGTTTTTTTAATAAAATTTATATTTATTTAAAGCAATTTGATTTGTTACTCCAAGTTAATACTAATATCGGAATTCTTGTGCATTACTGTCCACGGATTTAAGTAATTACAGACGAAACTGAAAACAGATGATGTCATGTTCACTCCTTTTCTGAATGCACATCTTTTTGTGTTTATGACAAGTTGACATAATGATTATTATTGTCATGACAAAGGCATCTGGTAATGTCATCCTGGTTAATGTCAAGTTGTCATTATAAGGACATCCCAAACAAATTTAATGTCAGCTTGTTATGACAAAGACAACATCTGGTAATGTCACCTTAATTAATGTCATGTTGTCATAATCAAGACAACCCAAACAATGTCAACTTGTCATTACAAAAACTGAATGACACTTAATGACAGCATTCATAAACATTTATGACATGTACATAATGTTCATGACAAGTACATGACAGTGTTATGTCATAGTTATGACAGTGTCATGTCACCCTTATGCAGATACCTTCAAGTGTTACCAAACTGACACTATATCCTGATAGTAGTACATGAGACAAATGATAGGAGAAAACAATCATATTCCTCTGCCTCCTCTTAGTGCTTCTAATGGCATCTGTAAGGATTCTGCGCACATGAACAAAAACAACCAATCAGAGCTGAGGAGTCTTTTGCGCAGCTGTCAGTCACTGCCAGTAGTTAAGCTAGGGCCAGGCAATATAAAGACTATGTATGATTTATTGTATATCCACGCAAGATATAACTTTAGACAACACCGTTTGTACCGATATAGGGTCAAGTTGGGTTACATAACGCATACCGGTTCAGTCCTAGCTACCTCTGAATGTCCCAGTCTCAGGAGGAATACCAAGACCCAGTATTTTATTTGTTCATTAGCCACTGTGTATGTATGTAGGTAGTGTTATAGGTTAGTTACACTTTTTATAGTGAAATGGTGTTCTGTGCATTAATCGCGTATAAAATGTGGGGATGATGATGACATCCCCACTTTGGCCTGGCGTCCTGGTGTCCTGGCTCCCCCTTGCTGTAGCATATTCCTGAGGTAGGCTGGATGTGAACCCCAGTCTCCTGCACTAAGGTCAGTAGCCTGGCTAGACATAAGCATGTGTCTCTGGGCCCATTTAACTTTTTATTTGGCCGCTGGACTTTAAAATTCACCTGCCCTGGATAAGGATCAAACCTCCGACCTCAGAATTCTCAAGCAGCTCTTTAACAGCCTGAGCTATTCCACCTCGCACTTCTGTTGTGTTTCACGGAGCCTTTCACTCTGTCCTCTAAACAGCGGCCTTTAAAATTCACCTTGATAATTTATCAGCACTAGATTCATTTGAAAGGCCAACAGATGGAAAATGACTTTTTAACACCAAACACAAAGATTTTTTATCGTTCCAAACTACAATGGTTTTAGACCTACTTGATATTTTTATACTCCTGTGCTGCAAACCTTTGAAGCTCCGTAGCTCCAGTGCTGTGTGCAAAACATTACTGTACAGCCTTGCTATTTATTTTATATCATTTTTAATTTACATGTTGTGCAGCTCTATATTTTCAAACGGGAAAAAAATCCCCATCTTTGCATTTTATTTTGATCAGTCTGTTTTAATAAAAGTGCTTGTGACATCTCAAATATGGCTTTGACTTGCAACTGAAAACATGTAGCCAATTTCTTCAGCCTGCAAATACAGAGATACGAATTTTTTTTTTTTATCCCCCAGCCCTACTTCAAACTGTCAAACTCAGCAGTGCCGATCAAATATGAATCAAGTTCTGTACTGCACTGCCTGTTTCTCACCTCATATGTTTTCAAAAACATATTTCAGTGTACTGTTTAGCTGTAAAATGAGAATATTTGTGACCCGGCTGCCATGCTGAAACAAATGGAGCTGCACAGGGCAAACTTTTCTCATTTTACAGCCAAACAGTACACTAAAATATGTGTCTGAAAACATCTGCGGTGAGAAATGGGTAATGCAGTCACAGAATCTTGATTCACATTTGATCAGCGCTGCCTAGCTTAACAGTTTGACCGCAGTTCATGGGCAGTGACTGACATGATTGAGAGCTGCTTTAGAGACTCCTCTGCTTTGATTGTTTGAGAATGTGATTTTTTTCCCCCCAGATAATCTGTCTCATGCACTATGGTGTGGATACAGCGTCAGTTTCAGCAAATATGACAAAAAGTTATTTTCATAAAAGTTAAATTAGGAAAGGCAAATTAGAGCATATTAGCATGACTCTCAGTCTTATGCCAGACTGGACCGGGATACTAGACACAAAAAGACTCCAGTACACATACAACAAAAATTACACTTTAATAGAAAAGACAACAATAATGTTTGTGATTAACCTCTGAATGATTATAAATCAATCTGGTGTCAGACATGACACTTAAAAACACATCTCGTACAAAAGTGCAGATCTTCCCCAGCTGGTATTTTCAATCTCCTGGGTATCAGCATGTTTATTTTTCCCAACAAATGAATGGACGATAAACCTGGATGGCACTTTATACAGCGGAGAATGAGTCCTTACCAAAAAAAAATCCAGCTGAATACACAAGATGCAGCTGCTTCATTAGACGTTAGGATGTTTTGTTGATTTCCATGTTGTCTCTAGGGCTTCAGACAAAATGCCACTTGTCCACTGTGCAAGAGAAGATTAAAATCACATAAAAATGTAAGTGCTGAATCGTAACACCTGAAATAATTAAAATTATCACAAGTCAGTGGTTATTTACTCACCCTCTGGAGACACGGGATGTGCGCTGCCAAATGCAGGAGCCTAAGGGGTAAAACGTACATGACAATTACCAAACCTAAGCCTAATATAGTTGTACATGCTATGATCACTGTGAAACAACAGCATATGGAAGTTCTCACCGATTCTACCACATCTTTGGCCTCATCTGCACTGCATTTGAAAGGGCTCTCACAGCAGGAGATATTTTTGCTGATCAAAAAAGAGAAGTCAGTAGTGTTCACTGCACTTACATAGCCTCTCATATGTGAAACACACACACACACACACACACACATACACACTGCAGGGGTGTTACCATTCAATCCCTCCACTATTCTCCTGCTTCTGCACTAGTGCCCTCCAGTGCTCATGGGTGGACTTTATGATCGCAACCGCAAAATCCTGTAAAAAGGGCATCAGAGAAAAACATTAGGATTTCTTGCGGGAACACATTCGGTCTTAGCAACTGAACTTCTAGTAGTCTGCAGTAGTTGTCTGCGTTTACAAAGGTCTAAGTACCTTGTCTTTAAATTGTCCATTGAATCCAAATTGGTTCTCAGGCTTTCCATCGGGCACCTTGTACTTCCTAAACCAGTCGACAGTGGCCTCTAAATGACCGGGCCGGCTCTTCCGGACGTCCTCTATGCCTGGAAAACGCATTTAGAATGAGGACAGACACCTTATTTGGCTTGAATATAAATCAGATAAGACTCTGTACTTGATTTACACTTCGTATTAGGAATATATCTTAATGCAGAAATGAGACTATGTTGAATATGAGCAACTGTTTACAAAATATTAAGAGATTACAAATAAACAAAGAGGTAGTCAGTGGGTAATGGCTCATAAAAGGTAGCAACGCCCCATTAGAACAGTATTAGGTGAAGGTTGCAGCTGTATTGTAAACAATGGGTTTGCAAAGGATGTGTGGGGTAAGAAATGTGTTGTTAGGTTTAAGGATACACACAATGATTTGAAGGGGAAGCGTTGAATGTCAACAAAGCCATGTTGACAATAAAAACTCCACATGGTACGTGCCAGGCTGGTGTTTGATCTTCAGTCGGATCATGCCAGGATTTCTGAGCTAAATTTCTTCAGGGTAGAGAACGGATCAGTGTAAGGTTATTTTTAGATGGTGACTGTTGTGATCTGTGGAAAACACCCACTATTCATGTGTTTGGCATCGGGGTCCTCAGCACTGATAGCGATGACCTTCCAGTCCATTTCTCCCTCGTCGATCATGGCCAAGATGCCGAGCACTTTCACTTGGATCACCTGACCTGGAACACACACCTGAAGAACAGACCAGTGAATTACAAATAAACCTTCAATTAAATCATACGATTAAGTAATTTTTGTGTATGAAGTGAGCAAAAAGAACATCCTTTAATGGTATAATTTATACATACACCTTAAGCAGTCTTACCTTGGTGCCGATCTCACAAACGTCAATGGGATCATTATCACCGCAACACTTTGTCTCTGTGTCCGTGTGGTCTGGGTCCTCCCATGTCTTTTCCAAGGAACAGTTCAAAAACATATCAACATTTTAACAAACTACCCGACTAAATAAATAAAAATACACTCACTGGAACAAACGAATTTAAAAAAAGGAAAAAAATCATTGTGCACTCACCTGTGGAAGTGCCCCATAATTCCAAATATAACCTTTATGGGGAAAAACTTTGGCGACATATCGGAGCTTTCCTTTCTTTACATCTTGTTTGATCGGGTTCAGCGGTTCCTTTGTTGCAATCTGGAAATTGGGGCATTTATGAAGTTGTATGAAAGTATTCATGAATGGATTACTGAAAGGACCTACCAAGGACAGGTCCAGGGGCCCAAAGTGTCAGGGGCCCGCCTGGCCTTCAACTGCAAAATACCACTCAAATTTACATGTACCGATCAGGAAGAGACACAAAACGACCACAAATGACATTAAATTACCTCAGAGAGACACAAGACAACAATAAAAATATAGGCCTATGTATATACAAAAATGCCCTCAAACAAACGCAGAACAAAAAACAGGCAAAATCACCACAAAGTCTGTGTCTTGCTCCTGTGTAGGAGAGGTCGTCGGGCCTCTGCATGTCTGTGCCCAGGGGCCCATTGTCTCATAATCCACCCACTAATGTACTAATGTGTAAGTTTGCACTGTTGCCAGTGTTAAAGCACACTTAAATTGATTTCTCTAGTGTCTCCAACACTCAAAACCTCAGCTCCAGGCTATTGCTATGCTAAATTCCTGGAAAGCTTATAATGAAAGATCACTGAATGAAAGTTGACACACCTGTTATAACATAAATATTTCAATCTCAGACTTTTATAGAGCAGTAGCAGCTGTAATTGTTAATCAAACCAATTCTACATAATAAAGTGAGGTAGTGTATCTACAACCTTCTTACCTCCATTTTAGCATTTGACCATCGAGGCACCTCCACTACCATGTTATAGAGAACCTGTAAGCACAGAAGAAAGCTGTATGCAGTGTATACTGGGTCAAATGTTTTCAGGTAAAACTGACATAAAATATTTGCATTTGACATTACCTCACTCTTCTTGGACTTTTTAGCAGGCACATCGTTTTCCTGTTGAAAGAAAAAAAAAATCAGACGTTTGAATGTCGTGTTTATACAGCTAAACAGAGTCATAAACTTTCTGCAGTATTTATCAAACACAAACTTAAGACGTCTGTTATCAAAGAGTTACCTGTTCTGTCTCCGCTATAAGTGGGATGTCATGGAATGGTGAAATGTATTTTCCATCAGAGGTTTCTAAGGAAAAGAAAGAAAAATTAATGGATTCATGTAAATGAAACAAACAATGAAATCCCACAAGACTGTTTATTTTACATACAATCATTATACTGCACAGCGTGATAAGGCTGCAAATCTACACAGCAGGGAGAACTAGTATTTCATTTCAAGACAACTTGTAGGTTTGGTTTGGATTAAGTGCATATGAAAGCAAACACAGCATTTGCTTTTTTGGCCTTCAACTAAAAATGACTCCAAACCTGTCCTTTCACAACTGCTGTTGTGCAACATTTTATGTACTGTAAGAGACCCTGGAAATAATAGTTTGATGAAAGAGATCTTGCCTCAAGGTCTAATGACGAGCTTCTTCCACGGCTTTCAATCGCATCTTATGTTCTTCCTCGATGGACGGAGTCTGCTCAGTTGACACTGTGATAGCTCAGACTGACATAGATATCGAGCTATCTCCATGACAAATTAGCAAATGTGGTTTAAAAAAGTGGAAAAACTGGTAATTGGATCTTGAGTTAAGATTCAATTCAAGGTGATTTACGAATAATTTTACAGTTACAGCTTGTATCCTCAATTTAGGGGCTCGTTACAAATAACCTAAAGCTGCATTTAACAGTTTTTCCATTGTCAGTTAATCTGTTGATTATTTCTTTGATTAATCGATTAGTTGTTTTTCCTCATAACATAGTTATTGGGTTTATTGTCACAGAGGAGCAAAGAAACTAGATCAGATTTACATGTAAAAAGATGGAATCAGAAAATTTTGTCAGATTATGGTGGCACTGTGGTGCAGTGGTTAGCAGTGTCGGCAACAGGGTTCCTGGTTCAAACCATGTGGGGGGTTTGAACCCCAGGTTGGGGGAGTTTGCACATTCTCCCTGTGTCAGCGTGGGTTTTCTCCAGGTGCTCCAGCTTCGTCCCACAGTCCAAAGACATGCAGATTAACTGATGACTCTAAATTGTCTGTAGGTGTGAATGTGTGTGTGAATGGTTGTCTGTCTCTATGTGTCAGCCCTGCGATAGTCTGGCGACCTGTCCAGGGTGTACCCTGCCTCTCACCCAATGTCAGCTGGGATAGGCTCCAGCCCCCCTGCGACCCCTAACAGGATAAGAATGAATAAATGAAACAGATTAATCTATTAATAGTTGATTACTAACTGATTTATCATTGCAGCTCTAAAATAAAACTGTGATTTATTGGTTACCAGTAAATGCGACGTCATCAGTTACAATACAATTACTGTTTTCTCTGATTTATATTAACATCTGTATGAAAACACCTGCTGTCATGACCAAAACACAGTCACATTACCCACACTGGAACAAGATAATTTGATATTAGTTTAATATTGTGCAACATTATCACTATGAGTTGAGTGACACTAAATAATAGTGAATAAAATGTCTGAAAATCTGCAGTACTATTCAATGAGTTTAAATTAATTTGACATACTGAATTTTACTGCTTCTACTGAGAAAACGCTCTTAGCCCACGTGACCGCCGAAAACAGGAAGTAAACCACGTGAATAACATACATGGAAACATCTGTCTTGCTCTCTGCTCATGATCTATTTCATCTTACAGGAAACTGGGGTTAACGCTGGTGGGGGTTTTCCCACTAAAGCTAAAGTGGTATGACAGCCACGTGTTAGGAAACCTCACGCCTGCAACGTAAAGGTCAAACGTTTACCTTGACCTGGAGGTCGACCTGTGGTTACCTGTCCCACACCGGACCCTGCTGTCACACCGTGACACTACTATGACACACAGGAGACACGCATGGTTCCCTCCACGGTGGCTGTGATGGACTTACTAAAATAAATCCGGTAGTCAGGTGAATGGGGGCGTCCTCTCTCCTCCGTCTGATAGTGCATGGTTTTTCTGAGATACAACAGGTGAGGAGCGGATGTTGCTTGTGTCACGAGTTTGTTTCGAGAAGCGGAAAATGAGCCGAAATGTGTCGCCAGGCAGCCGAGCGAGGAGCGCAGCAGCAGAGGTCTCATTATACACACTTCTTCTTCTTCCTCTCCCCTCAGTTTCTGCTTCCCGTTTTCCACCGTCGCCACATTCAGAAATGTCAAGTGCAACGGAGGGAGACTGGGACTTCCTGTCAGGGGTTTTTCAAAATAAAAGCATTCACAGTCCAGGCTGAGACTGCCAGTCAAGTCAGATTTATTTACAAAACAACATTTACAAGTAGCAAATGTTGACCAAAATTAAATAAGATTTAATATTATTAGATTAAATTAAATTAAATTAAAAATGCAGGAATGATCACATAAAACAGTCATAAATAGGAGAATGTAACTAAAATTAATAAGAGTATACAGTAGCCTATTTTGACAAAAAAAGCATTGCACAAACAACAAACGAAGCATAGAAATTACATGTGTAAGCTGTGTGATCAGGTATGTCATCCTAATGATAATAAAAATGCTAAATTAAAGATATGGGTCTCCTTTTTGTGATTCGTGCCCTCTTGCAAATTACAAAAAATGCCCAAAGAGGACAACTATGGCTAAAAATATGTTTGAATTAATGAGTAATTGTCATTAAGACAAAGTAATGGGATTTACTGACAACCATAAACTGAATGCTGGCAACCATCCTGTTAGATTTTGGAGTTATTCTAAATAGAGATCTGATGGTGATGCAAAGAGAAAAGTGCGGGTCAATGGGTGCTTTGAATATTGGAGGCATTAACGTTAAACGTGTGCCAGCATCATGTGTGCGCAACCGACACAATTCTGAGGATAGTTATAAGAAAGGTCCTGATGTTTCCAAAATGGAAAGAGTAATTTTTGGATGATTAATAACGTGCAATGTAAATTTCACTATCCACTGAATTCTGGCATATTTTATTCATGATGTTGTTTTCATGATATTTGAGACATATGTTTTAACCTATATGTTTACCCATACTTTTTGGAGTTTGTAGTAACAGTATTTGATATAGATCTCTACACCTTAACAGACCACACGGATTTGTTACTATGACACTTTATTTTGATAATGTAACCGGAAGTCACCTCTTTTTTTGACGTGAACTTCACAATTCTTCTACAGCATGCATGTGGTCCATGTGAAGTCGCTTCACTCCACTGCCACCTAGCTAATGTTTACCCCAAAACAACCAATACACACACACAAAGACACACACACACACACACACACACACACACACACACACACACACTTGCAAGTAAAATCACATTGTTAATTTCTTAGGTAACTAATGTCTTTGTTCTACAAATGAAAACATAGATTTATCTGCCCCATACATATATGGCAGACATGGAGAAAGACATTAATCCCGGACAGGGGTGTAAATATAGACAGTGCAGGCAGTGCTGTTGCACTGTCTGGGACCCGTAGGGTGGGTGGGTGAGGGGGGGCTTGCAAATGACCCTAACCCTGCCACCTGGGAACGATGCCTGTGTTGATATAAAAACTCACATGATTGTTGGGTAACATGTATGTTGATGTTGCCTGGTTTAGGGTCTCTATTTGATCATGTGACAAGACATATAATACTGTAGCTAGTTTCGCTGCAAAATCTGTCAAGACTGACAAGCTGAGCACATCTGCAAGTCCAAGTGGCGCTGAGAAAAGACAAGAGAGGAATGAACAGGAGGGAAAAAGTGGCAAAGCTGAGTTAGATTCCTTTGGCATTTTTACAAACACTTGCCAGTGGTGTGTGTGTGCGCCTTATAACGAGTAACTAGTGTGCACTCAAGCCTGTCACAAGACACGGGGCCTGTCATACCTTACGCCACTGATCCCAGATGACTCTTTTGCATGTCTTTCTTTTTCTTCCCTGTCTTTTCTTTTTTCTTAAATGACGCTGTTTCCATCGCACAGCTTTAAAATTTTTTTTACAATTATAATGGTACTGGTTACTACTGGTAGAAGAAGAGACAGTGCAAAATGTTGGTCAAACATGCAGCCTGTTGGCCAGAACCGGCCCACTGGATGACTTTGCACCAAATATTGATGCACCTGTGAGGGCTAAGAGGTGTCAGATTGCTGGAGCAAGTTAAACAGTGAGTAGTGTTCTTCATGTAAAGTGCTGCTTCAGAGGCTCCTCCACCCCGACCAGAATACAGTTCTCTGAAAAAACGATGAGTGCCTATTGTGGTCATATTTAAAGATATTGAACATTGTGCCAAATATTGTCAATCAGCAGCTTCAGTACAAACAAATTTATATCAGACTTAAGTCTTAGAACAATATTGGTGGAACCCTATGACTGAGGCACTGCCAAAAATCTTTGATTTGTAAATTGTTTGTAAGGCAAGAGATAACTGCTTCCTCTTCACCATCCACTTCAGTTTGGTGTGGTGCTGCCATCAATACTGCACAGGAAGGGAAATGTAGGAAAAATGCGCATGTTGCAGTAGACTGACTGAATGTGGAAAAACTGAAATTGGACTTATTTTTCATAGGATAACTCAGGCTGTTCATTGTCTGTTAGTAAAAGTTGTTATGTATCGGTTGTCATGCAATGGTTTTCCTGGTACAACCCACTGAAGATCAGATTGGGCAACTTCAAGAGCAACCGTAAAGTGCCCCATCGCTCTTGCTTTAATGTCCCCCTGCTTTTGTTTTTATGACTTGAAGTTAATGGATTAGAAGATGGTAATCTCCACAATACATCATGAGATCAAAGTCCGCATGTGTCCATTGTGTCTTAAACAAACACCCACCCAGGCGACCTTGATGTGTCCCTTTTACTGCTGAATAGGTTGGTCTCTGTTCAAACAAGTCACATACATATCTCCAGCCATAAATAGTTGCTTTATTAAAATCTTAAGAGTGGATGCTTGCCTTTGATACTGTTGCCAAAGAGCTTTGATTCTGCCGAGAACAGAATCCTATTCATCGTGTGTTTCGGCAAACAGGACAGTCCGACTTATCTCGCTGTAGCTGACAAAAAATATTCCATGCTATAAACCTGTATGGTGGACACTAGAGGTCAAAGTTAAAGTACGATGACTTGACATGACAAAGGGAAGTGTGATTATGGGAGGTTCACAGAGGGATAAAAATGTCTGTATTTCATCATTTATAATCGCTGTACTGATTTATAAAATCTGGATGCAGAGCCAAATGAGAAGAGCGTCCCTTCCTTTAATTTCCTTGCCCATAACCAAAGCACTCAGCCATGACTCTTCCAGTGATGGTGCCCAAGTGGCACGCAGTAAAAGTCTGCGGCTGTAAAAGACAGTTTCAGGCATGAGTGTGTTTTTATTTTCCCTTTTCCCTTTTCATTCACCTGGCTGGCTCCTGCAGCTACTTCTCCTGGCAGCTGCTGATGACAAAATAAGCTGTCTTTGTTATTTTGTCCCACCAAACAAACTTTAGCATCTGTTTGTTTTCACACAAGAAAATACATCGGTTAGATCGCTGACTAAAGCTTCTCCGATGTGACAGTTTGCTGCTCTTGGAAATTTTGATGGATATTTTTCTGACATTTTAAAGATTAAACAATAAATTGAGAAAGTTTTATCAGATTAATCTGCAATAGAAATAAAGGCATTATAGTCCTAATTAGAAACAGAATTTTATTCTGTGGGGAGTATGCGTTTCGTGACTTTATTTGACTGCCTGTCATTATTTACCTAGGTGTGAGAAAGTGTACACTTCTGTCTCTGGGAAGGTCAAGAAAAGCCACACCCTGAGTGAGACAAAGTCACATGAGCTCCTTAGGGCAAAACAATTAATGTCGCCATGCTGACAGCGTGCAGAAGATAACACGGTTTACTCACTTGCATGTTTGCGTAGAGTTTGTGATGGTTCAGCATGGTTTACTGAGCCTACTTGGTTACATAACACTGCTAACAGTGGTGTCTGTTATGTTTGAACTGTGCTTGTTCATCAGAGAGTAAAATAACATTAAGTAGTTAAATTCTTATGATGATGCAGCTTGAGATACTAAATATATACAGTCATATGTTGATGGCCAGCTGACATGTAGCTGAGAGCCATATGTGTGCATCTAGACTAATGGAGGTTAAACAGGTGTGCTATGAGCACACTGCACAGTGATCTGAAGAAACACAATGGGAGTGCTCACTGTGGTTCAATGGGGAGGAAATGCATCCATTCATTGTTCTGAGGAGGAACGTATCTGGTTACTATGACCTGAAATCATAGTGGCAGCATGTGTGTTGATGAATTACCTGTCTGACCAGGTCTGATATTTTACGAGCGTCCATTTCTAGCGTGAAAGAATACATTTTCGTAAAGGGACACAAAAACTTGAAAATTTGATTATCGGTGTTTTGCAATCTTAACTCCCAGTCTTTCACTCTCCACCTTCAAGAAAAACCTCAAAACACACCTTTTCAAAACTGCCCATAGCCTTTAAATTCAGTGTACTTCGCCCTCTCTGTACTACTTCCCTCCCTACCTCCCTATAAATGTTTTTTTTTTGATTGATTGCTGTTGTTGCTCTCTGTAAAGCATCTTTGAGTATCCTATAAACAGTTTATAAATCCAATGTATTATTATTATAACAACTATAAAACACTAACCAGACAGCCATTAGTCAGCACATACAAGTGTAAGTATAGATTTCAGGGGGGATGCAGGGAACACGACCCCCCACCCCTCCAATAAAAAACATGAAAGTAGCATGACTTTTATTTTGACAAAATCAAAGACGTTTAAGCCATAAATTGATGCACAAAAGGCAGAAATTGGTGCATAAAGACTCACTAGAATGCAGGAAATCAAGTGTTTGCCGCTCAAAATTTCCACCATCACATCAATGTGAATGGCCCTATCTATGTCTATATATCTATGGTTTGTCCATTCTGGGCTACTGTAGAAACAACATGGCGAAAAGCATTAAAAAGGACCCGCTCCTTAAGTAGATATAAACGTAGATTGAAATGGCTCATTCTAAGGTAACAAAAGCACAACAATTCTTATTTCCAGTTGATTTTACACTAAGGAAAACATACTTATTATATTATACCCCGCTCTTGCCAATAGGCCTATATCCCCCTAAATCAGACACATTACAGTGGTACAATGTGGCACATACTTTCTGTGCATGATTTTCTTTAACATATTACATTACATATTACATTACATAAATACTTCCTTGTCAACAGTTGGCCCATTTGCAGCGTCTACGTGAGGTCTCACATGTGTGTTATATTGAGGACATTTATTATAGTAAAAATGAAAAGAAGATTTTAGCTGGTGGTCACTACTCCGGCATCAAACCTTCTCCCTGGACTATTCTAAGGGAAGAAGCATAGCACAGCAGCACAGAGGTGTGGCCACATAGCTCTCATGACAGGTAGACACAGGGAGGAGCTAGATTACCTGTGCAGAGCTGACAGTCAGTGCACAGTGAACACTACACCTGTTGTACTTCCCAGGCTCTCTCTCTCTCTCTCTGCTTCTCTCTCCCTCTTCCTGTCCCTCTCTCTTCCCCTTCTTTTCTCCTTGACTGCTCTGAGAGGGAGCTGACGGCCTCGCCATGGATCCCAACGAGGCCGGCGGGGGTGAGAAGGAGAAGGAAAAAGACAAAGTGATAAAGAGGAGGAACCGGCCTGTGTTCCTGCGTTACCTGGAGAGGAGGAAGACGGACACCATCGTGGCTGAGGACACAACCAAAGGTGACATCAACCTGGGGACGCTGGTGAGAAGGAGCCAGTCTGACAAGACGGAGTACAGCGCCAAACTTAAAGGTACACCAGCTAATGACCTCCCCAGGGGTCAAAACTATGGCAACAATCTATACACACGTCAGACAAGTCTCTCAACTCTTTACATTGCAATCCTGTTGATAACACATTGTATAAGAGAACTTTAACTACATATAAGTTATAAGAGCAGACTCCATGGCTTGAGGGCAACAATTCAACACACATAGAGAACGCACTGCTCTGCCTACCGGGCACCTGTTGTGTTACTATGTGTTGAGCAGGAGATACTCCCACAGGGATGAAGCCACATATGCAAACTGCGCTCCAAACTCAGGCACAGAGGAGTGGCTTTAGAAGTGTTCCAGACCAGCTTGTAAACAAGACCTAGACACCCGTGACGTGCAAAGAAGGGCGTACGGATTATTTTTCATCATCAAGTTTACCTAAAGAGTTTCAAGAGATGTCAGACTATTGGTGTTACAGTTTGGTTTGAATGTAACATGCATAGTTTGACCTGGAAAGTAAGAACAAGCTGGAGAGGAGAAAGAGTTGAGATAAAAAAAATCCATATTGTCAGGCCCCAGCTGTAGCCTATGGTTCCTCATGACAACTGCTGACACAACACACATGATGTCCACGATTCAGAAAAACTGGCTTCACCTGTCCTTAGAGTGCAGTCAGTGGCTGGGAATGCTGCACTTCAGGCAAAATGACTGACATCACCGTGTCAGTATTGGGTCACCATTAAAGATTAGCCAAATCATGTAGGCTTTCCTGTGCCACTTGTTCCTGCGTTTCCTTTTTCTGTGAACACATCACGTCACATGCCAAAATGACAAGTGGCACTTTGTTTGAATCAGCAAAGTATAACACACTTCTCACTTAGTGTTTAACTGATAAGATAGCTTTCTCTCACACACACACACACACACACACACTTGCCTTATCAGCATCTGCTCTGTTTACCTGAAATAGAGACACTCTCTACTCCTTTGCACTTTCTGTTTTCTTGGCCCACCTGCATAATGGCAGGCAGGGTTGTCAAAAACACACCGGGGTGTTTTCAGTAAACCAATCGCCCTCCCCTGTTTGACTTTAGCCTCACACCTGACGAGAGGCATTACATATTTACAGTGGTATTACCATTGCAAATATTGACAGACTGATGACTTCACTGAAAGAGGAAACATGTGAGCTGCTGCTGCTTGACAGCCAGTTCTCATCTGCTTGTCAGACAGGTTGGTCAAGCCGCAGAGCCATGGCAACATGACATCAGTGTGTCTAATTATTCACAGAAACTAGATATAATGGTTCCGGCAATGATTTACCAGCAGAAAACTGACATGAAAGGACAGTAATAAACTAAATATGTATTTACCCGGAAAACATTCATGGCGCAGGTTACTTTGAGGTGGTTTTATATTGTTGGGGACTGGACTGTGAGTGTGGGTCACCTTATGGCTTCATTATATGGCTTCTTTAAATGATTGGCAACATACTTAACTTTCTTTTAAGTTAGAATAAATCTTTTTAGTGTAGACAGTTTCAGGTATTTTTTTAATTGTTAGCTTTATCCAAAACATATTCTCAGTATTCTCCCATTTTACGACACAAGGTTTTTCTTGCCTAGCGATACGTGATACACCATGCCTTGTATTCTGTTCTGGGGCTGTCTGTTAGATCCCTTTCAATGGGCTGAACAGTGAAAAGCCCTATATCCACTTTCATGGGAACTCCTGTGCCGGCAACCATACCTCACCAAACATAATGCCGGCAAAAGGAGAAGTCAGCACAGTTTGAGGTCTGCTGCTGGTGTAATGCAATTTTTTGTAACACTGTGAATGTGTCAATGTGGGGGGATCTGTCAAGGCCAGCTCTCACAACTTACAAACACAATTCAAAATGCTTTCAAGAGAATCTTTATGATTTTTTTTTTTGCACCTCTGTGCGAGCAAGCCACCAGGAATTCACACTTGATCTATCATTATGGGGCCTTTTCTCACGGGTGGAGGTTTTCACTGGTTCTGGGGTGTCTTTTCACGCGTAGCCACGTGACACTTCATGATAGTGTTGAAACATGAATGAGATACTTCTGTTACATAACATTTCCTCCAGTTAAACACTTTCTCTGATGCTACTATAATGATGTAAAATGTTATTCCACAATAAAAGGTGGAAATATCTTGAACACTTATTATTCCAAAGCTTCATTAGACGCATACAACAGATGACCTTGAATGTTTCTCAAGTGTTATCAGGCCAAGGGCGTAGTTTTTAATTCAATATCAGGGGGAAAATTCAAAACAGGGACCCTCCAACAGAAAACTTTTGACTTCAAACACTAATTTCCCTTTTTTTTGTGCACCAGTTTGTGCTTTTCCTGCATTCATTTATAGTGTAAATGTAAATGTCCTTCATTTTTTGTCAAAGTAAAAATCCATTGCTACTTAAATCCTTTTAAATTAAATGCACATGCTCCAAATATTGAATCCCCCCTGGAAATCTATGCTTTTGTTTATTAATAACTACCAAAGGAGGTTTAGGTTTATGACGGCACAGTATGGTTTAGTCATACAGAGCTTCCCTTACATGCTTTTACTATAAGTACTGTTGTTAGTTTTACCTGTTGCGTTGTCTGCAATCATTCAGAGGAGATGAAAAATGGGGATGAGGTTATAGCAGCTTTAAATGATACGCCAACTTTTCCACAGCTGACCACATTTAAAACAGGTATTACAACATAATCCTTATCAAGATACAATGGGAAGAACATATTCCTTCACATTTGTTAAGTTTACAATGCTCAGATTTTAAGAAAGGTGATGATTCACCTCTGCAGGTGTTCATTTTATTCCTGTATCTCAGGGAAAAAAGGAAAATGTAAGGTGTAACTGTATGCAGTGTTGCAAGCGGTCTGTGATCAGATCTCTGCCAGAGTCAGTCAGGTGTGAACAATCTGTACAGTGTTTGCATCCAAGAGAAAGTACTGTCGACTGGACAGAGACACATGATGACCCATTCTACTCAGCTTCAGATGCTAGTTACGATACCTTTCAGTCATGGCGACATGTAGTTTCATTCACAGCATTTGTGACTGGTCATTCCTGTTGCCTGAACAAGGAAACAAATGGGTTGTTTTCTGATAATGAAACAGTAAGGATATTTAGGAAATAAAGAAGAATGCTCCTATTCCTGCCCTACTTGTTTCGCTGACAGTGCAATTTCGATCTTGCCTACTTTTTTTATTGTGTGCAAGAAAATGTGGTCAAAACTCAAGATTATAGTACTGAGAACATATACAAAGGGTGTGATTGTGCTAATCATTACCTGGTTAGTTAATCTGTACATTATTCTTTTCTATTTGAATATGGTGCCTTGGCTGTGATTAAACACAAAGTTGAACCTCCTACAGTCCAGCGATATGCAAGTTTACTGTCTGTGTATATGTGTGACACTGAGGAGGCATTTTGTATGTGCATGCATGACACTTTGTATGTATCCCTCCCTGTATGAATCAGTGTCAGTGTGTGTATGTGTCCTTGCATAGGTAGGTGTGCGTTCATCATTGTGTGCCACTCCCCCCACACACTCCCAGTCTGAGCAGATGGAATGCCTGAGCACGACGGAGCATTACATCAGCGGCACGATTAGTTCTGTAACCTGACACGAGCCCCGCAGCCCTCTGTCTCCCTCTCCTCCTCCTCCTCTCTCTCTCTCTCTTTCTCTCCCCCTCCAGAGAAGGAAGCGGTGTGTGGCGTTGATTAGGCAGCAAGGAAGCATCCCTCTTCCCTGAACAGACACTCCTGCCTGCCATGCAAAGCACAGAGCAGCCACAGACTGATTAGGCAGCAGAGCAATAAAAAAAGAGAAGTGAGCCTGACTGGCATGTTAAGTGAGGCCTTTTGGCGCTCGAGTCAAAATAATTATATCACCGTGAAATACTGATGGCTGCTCAGGCGTCAAGCGGGATGCGTTAGAAAGAGATGTAGGTTTTTTTCCAAGCATGCACAGCCCACAGGGGCACGGTGTTTACCAGCATTTCTAGAAAATGCACACAGATGGCTGGGAATGTTGGCAAACACATACTGAACATTTTGGGGTGAAATGGCAGATTAACAGCAAAATGTGAGTGCACTCACACAAGGTCATAGTTTTATTTTTTCAACATTTGGTGGGCACACATATGAAGTTGGAGGGTCTGTGGTTAGTCTGGTCTGAAATTTTGAGCATCAAACACTTAATTTTTCCTGCATTCTGGTGAATTTTCTGCACCGATTTTTGCCTTTTCTGCATCATTTTTCAGTGGAAATATCAACATACTTCCTGCTTCAACCACACATAGTTGCTTCATTTTGCAACTACCACTTTAAAGCATGGACCATGGAATAAATCTGAATAAGTGGGTGGGGGGTGGGGCATAATTTCAAGGCATGCAAAGAGGGTGGGAGACATATGCATTGAAACTGACAAAAGGCTTATATTACTGATGTATTTAATGACACTACAGAAGACTGTTTTAGTCTTAGACCACACACACATCTGTATGCACAATGAACACACACATATTGGAACACAAACGCTCAGATTATCCTCTATGATCGCTGAGGTAAATGTGCATCGCAGCAGACAGATACTTTTATTTGTCCCTATGAGAAAATTGGTTTGCAGCATAATCACAGCCATTTCATCAGAACATCACAAAGTCACCATATACACATGCCAATATCATGAAGGTCACTTACAGAGATAAAGAAATCATCAATAGACATAAAAAGACAAAACAGAAAGATTCATTCATATACCCATACACATACTAGGAGGGGGAAAGGCCAGACCAGCTGGACATCCTTTAGGACCAGGAAGGAGCAGCCACAGTGCATATGAGATACGTTGCTAGTCCATTACCTATATAAAAACATAATGGCTTGTGGAACAAATGAAAACTTGGCTCTATTTTTAGTGAACAGAGGGGGGCAACATCATCGCCCATATGGCAACAGATTAAATGAGGAGGCAAGGGGGTGCCTCATGATGTTATTTACCTTCTTAATCATTCTGTCTCCATAGATACATTCCATATATGGTAAGGTATTAGTTTACTGATGGTGTAACAGTTTATCTGACGATATTTATCTGTGCCTCAGTAGCATTGCCAAACCAGCAGATGATGCAGCAGTCAGTGGGAGTGGGTGACAGTGACCGACATCGCTTGGTGCTTTTAAAGTACACGTTTTGAGAAAAAAAAATCTTTTATTCATAAAAATATCATATTAGAGTCTAAAAGTTACCTGGGCATAGACCTCCGCAGTCTATGCTTTTACTTACTGAAAGGCACTGTTGCATCTATGAGCTGCATTTTAGCACTTTGTCAAAACAAATGTCCTCTGCTACTTCCATGTTTCAAACCGGTCTCACTCCAAAGTCGTGGAAATCCTGCTCTTGGGCGATGACTTGCAACGTTCAGACACTGACGAAAAAGCCATCCTTTAACGTTGGCATGATACACCGCCGATTGCCATTATATTTTAAAGGCGCTCGGCGGCGTCAAGGGGAAATGCAGCGGGACACAAATGAAACTTAAGGCAATGAAGGTTGATGGGTCCAACAAACAACAACTTCCACTCGGGAGAGAGGTATTCGCTTCCCGTAATATTATAAAGCCAAACCCTATTCTTTTTTCCTAAATCCAACCACATGTTTTTGTTGCCTGAATCCGACCATGTGCGTTAGTTGTTGAGGGCAAAAAACGTCAATTCACAGTGTTTTACCTATGTGCATTTATCCTTTCATAGTCAACGCATTGAATGCAAGCAATGCAGGCGACACTTGAAATGCAATACATCGCTTGTGCAATAGGGGGTAGTAGAGTCACCGGTACATTCCGGCTAGCTAGTACTGCTAGAATGCAGGGCACTAGAACAGTCATATAAATGGGGGTGTGCCCTTACGAGTTCGCAAAGTTTTTCCTCCGCCCCTGCCATATTTCATACCCGCCTCCTCTGTGAATAACAAAAAGTGTTTAATTTCAAGTACGTCGCTTGCATTATGAAACGGCCCTAACTTGACACAGCCTCCCAGAATAAACCAACGCACCCAGGTAACCTTTCATGTCTTATCTGCACGTGGAAAGTCCATGACCAAACGTCGATATTTGCCGAGGTCAGAGTGAGAACATGTTGGTTTTTATTGGGGTGGTGGGGAGGGGGAGTACAAACATCCCCTGTACACTCACATCAGTAGTTTTCCATATCCTTGTATGACCGGTGTGACTAATTAGACCAGAAGCTGTCATATGAGACTGCCCATTTTATACTAAACTTATAATGTCATCTTTCCACAGAGAAAATGACACCGCCCGACCTGTCCACAATCCACTCTCCGACGGTGGACCCGGAGGAGATCCGTTTGAGGAAGATGAACCGCAGGGCGAAAGTCATTCAGGAGCTGGTGCAGACTGAAAAGGACTTCCTCACAGACCTGGAGCTGTGCATCAGAGAGGTTGTTCAGCCTCTACGAAATTTGCAGGTAAATGTTTTTCAGGGTCTCAATGAAGGGGAGAATCATTTCAAACTTAAATTATAAGGAATCAACTCTGTAATGTTAAGAAAAGGGGTGACTCTAAGGGGGAACTGATATACATTTTAGCTTGTTTATACAGTAAAGATTCTGGTCTGCTGGTATATTGAGAGACAATGCACTACAGTATATGCTAATTTTGATTGTTTCATTTGCATTCAACATTTGATTTTTTCACCCTCTGTTAGGTTGTGGATGTCGACAGGTTGTTCACCAACATGGAGACAGTGTGTGAGGTATCTGCAGCGCTCCTTCACAGACTGCATGAGGCCAGGGCTGACCCTGATCCAGAGGCAGTTGTTATAGGTAATGCCGTTTTCACTCTTGTCTGATTTAATTTAACTGACTTTTACTGCAGCGGTTCATATTTGGCAAAAGATCTAACGAGACCCCATTTTATTTGAAGGAGACATATTCATCCAGGCAAAGGCAGCTTTAGAAGACGTTTACAAGATTTACTGTTACCATCATGATGATGCCAACATGTCGCTCAAATCCTACGAGAAAGAGGAAGAAATGCGGCAACATTTCACCACATGTGTATTAGCTCTGAAGTGAGTCCAGTCAATTCCTCCAAACATTTTTAAACATTATTTATAACTTCACTGATATTCTAAACATTACTAATTAAAGTGAATAATCTTGGTGGGGACTGTTTCTTTTTCTTTGTAATTACAGGAAAATCTATGACCAAGAGTAAGTAATGAAACATTTATGTTGGCATTTGAAATAAACTGATTTCCATATTGAATACACTATCATATATAGATCTTGATTATTGTCTTAATTTCTGAATCTCTGCTCTGTAGGTTGTAACAATTTATGTTAATCATTGTTTACTGACAGTTATATTTATTTGCACAGAGGGAAACCCACCCTGCTGAACATGGGTTCACTGCTCATTAAGCCAGTCCAGAGGATCATGAAGTACCCTTTGCTGCTCGGAGAGCTGTGGCACGCCACACCTGAAGACCATCCTGACTATCGGCCACTGCAGGAGGCGTTCACTGCTGCCAAGATCATCAATGTTAACATCAATGAGTTCAAGAGACGCAAGGATATAGGTGAGATTTAACTTACACTGACACATGCAAGCATATTTTATCATTGATGGCTGGTTCGTTGTAAATGATCGTCTCTTGTTTCAATTTTTGTTCTGTCTTCCTGTTCATTCTCAGTTATGAAGTATAAGCGATCAGAAGATGAAGGCACACTGAGGGGCAAACTGAACAAGTTCAACATCCACTCTATCAGGAAGAAAGGCGACAGGTTTGCTGGCTATCTCAAGATCCTCACTGGAGTTGAACCACAGGTAAAATACGGTGAAAGACATGGAATGAAAGTCATGAGTCTTGTTGAACTGACAGTTTAAAGGAGCAGTGTGTAAGATTTAGGGGGATTTATCTAGCAGTGAGGACTGCAGATTGCAACCAGGTGAAACTTCTGGTTGCAATTTAAAACCAGTGTTCATTGTTCAGCAGTTTTGTACTGGAAGCTGAATTATATATTTTTTCTCTGATAGCTTAGTGTGTGCTCACCTTATTTCTAATCCAGATTTTCAAGTGGTAGTTACCATGAGCCAAATTATCCACAGAGGTATCTTTGTTCTCAAAACAAACAGATCAGTGATTAAAACTGGTAAAAATCACTGAATGAAGCAGTGTTTTTCCGACCCTCTTGTCGCGGAGGGGCTGCTAACTACAGTGGCTGACACAAAACCCGAGTGTCCCTCCCTGGAGCCAGTGTTTAGTTTTGTCTCTTCTGGGCTACTGTAGAAACATGGTGGTGCAACATGGCAGTCTCTGTAAATGAGTACCAACTCCCTACGTAGATATAAACAGCTCTTTCTAAGCTAACAAAAATACAACAGTTTGTATTTTCAGGTGATTATAAACCAAAGAAAACATACTTATTATATTAGATTTCATTTCTGCCAACATGTTCCCCTAACTCCTACACACTGGACCTTTAAATAATTCATAGAATAAAGTTTTCTGGCCTAAAGATACATGTTTAATCTCCAAATTGCTGCTTTTATGCATCTGTAAATACAAAGGCTACTTTTCGGGCAACATATTTAAACTCTTGCATCTGTAGGTGAGAGATGAAGTATTCGATAAAGAGGAGAAGCTGTTCAGGAGTCTGGAGAAAGCTGTAAGGCAGTTGGTCAAGAATGTTCAATGTTACCTGCAGCACACTCAGGTAGGAACATATTAGTGTGTCCTACTACAAAAAGTGTGTGCGTGAGTTTAATGGTTTTAAATATTCTGTCAACTCTCTGAGACTATTTTTCTTGGTGTCTGTTCTGCAGGAAATGGTGTCTGTAGCTGTTCAGAATGTGCAGGACATGGAGGACATGATCAAGGATCCAAACAAAAATGACACAAACGGCTCATCGCACAATAATGGAAATGACCCCTATAAGCACTTTGTAAGTGCAGCTTTTGTATAATGTATGAGTTTCATTCAAGGCATCATTTACTTTACTATCCAGCGTATTCCTCTCCTCCGTGAATCTTCTGTATTCGCGTCTGTCCTTGCTTTGCTGTCCTGTTCCTACATGACCTCCCATTCACCCTCCCACTACGAGTCATCTGTCACTTTGCCCACAGCTACCTGTCTTCTCTCCGTTATATTAATCCTCTTCTTCTCTGCCTCTAACCTTCCTGCTAGGTCCCTCTGTAACTCTGCAGCCTTCCTTTTCCTGCCCTTCTCCTCTCTGTGGATTGCACTGTGGCCAATTTCAAGATAACTACACCTTTGAATAAGACTCTTTGTGAAGCAGCTCACTTCACTGAAGCAGTTTAGCACTGCCTCAAACCAAAGTCTGTTATAAGCTTTACAAAATAAGTATACACAAAGGCATGTGTACTCTTGTGAAGAAAAGTGACAGACTTATTTTGTGTGAAAAGGGATCCATTGTGTCTGCCATAATGAAAACATGACAGCTGTAACGGATAGATGCTCTCAGGAAACAGAACATTTTCACCAAAGAAGCATTTCTCTTTACTTTATGTAAAGTACTACCCATTACATTTTGCAAACTAGGATAGATGAAGTCTGCTAAAGCCTTACTGTAAGCCGAATAACATCACTACCCCTCATTTGTCAGCATGCAAATCAAGCTGGAGCAGCTCTGTTGTTATGTATTCAGTGTTAACGTTAAGACGTACTTTGCTTGTCTCCACTTGAAGAAAATTGTTGTAAATTAAAGGTGCTGCTGCTTTCTAAAAACAAAAGAAAAATCATATAAAAACACAGTAAAAATACCTGTTTGCATGTACAGAATGCATAACACAGAGGACTTAATGAAAATGTGTAGACTAGCACTGGATATCTCTATTCATCTTCTGCCGCCTCATTGACTTCTTGCTCCAGAAAGACAGCATGGAGCGCCTGGTCCTTGCCCCCCTCTCCTCCCTGCAGGGCATGTTCACAGCCCCACAGAAGCTCATCCAGAAGCGTTATGACAAATTGCTGGATTACTGCAGCCACCTGGAGCGCTCCTCTTCTTTTTCATCCTCATCCTCATCCACCACTTCCTCCACTCCTTCGCTGGTGTCAGTAGACCCGCCTGGTCCTGCCAGGAGGGACTATGAAGCCATCAATGCCTTGCTGGTGGAAGAGTTGCAGAGGTTCAACATGGCCGCCTATACTATCCTGACCAACTGTGTGGTGTGTCTAACAGCCCTGCTTACAGGACTGATGAATAAAATACTCATTCGTGCCCCATCCATACAGCAGCTACCGGTGAGGATACCACACATAAATCACATTCATTTATTTTTAGTCTATTCAGAGGAACAGTGTGTAACATTTAGGGGGATTTAGTGGCATCTAGCAGAATACAACCAGCTGAAACTTCTTCAGGTTAGAATTCCATCAATGTTCATTGGTTTTTACCATGAGCCGAATTATCCACAGAGGTCTCCTCATCTCCAAAACAAACAGATCCGATGATTTAAACTGGTAAAACACTGAATAAAGCAAATTCCATTACAACTCAGTGTTTCTCCGACACTGTCTTGCGAGCCCGGTCATACTCCGAAGTTGTCGAAATCCGGCACTTGGGCAGTGACTTGCAGCGTCGGAAACCAACAGAAAAAGCCGTCCTTTAATGTCAGCATGATACGCGGCTGGTTGCCATTATAGTTTAATGGCACCCAGTGGCGTCAGGGGGAAACGTGGCAGGACGAGGATGTAAGTTAAGGTGGTGAAAGTCCAAGTAGGGCTGGTTGGAGGGGTTGTGGATTGGTCAAACAAACACCGACCTTCACCCGAGACAGCGGTGTTCGTGTCCTGTAAGATTCTAAAGCCAAACCTCGTTCCTTTTTCCTAAACCTAACCAATTCCTTTTGTTGCCAAAACCTAACCACGTCACCTAAAAATGTCAGTTCGTGGTGTTACCCTGGTACCGATGTAGTGCGTTTATTTTGAAAGAGACTGTATGTTAATGTTAAATTTCAGATGTTCAGAAGGTTTTAACCTTGAGCTATATTATCCACAGAAGTCTCTTCTTCTCCAAAACAAATAGATCCAGGAATTTGAACCGGTAAAAACACTGAATGAAGCCGTTTTACATTAAAAACATCTGTGGCTGACACGAAAACACACAAATGCAAAAACGCAAAGGCACGAATGACCTTTTCTAGAGCCAGTGTTTTGGTTTGTCTGCTCTGGGCTATTGTAGAAACACACAGTGCAACATAACTGTCTCCATAGACGAGGATTTGCTCCCCATGTAAATATAAATGTCTAATTCTATGGTAAAGAAAACAAGATTCTTATTTTCAGGTGATACAATAAAAAAAAAACCTTATTATATTATCCCCCTAAATCTGACACACTGCACCTTTACTATTGAAACTAATATGTGTTGTGATTGTCTTTCCAGGCTCCATTGTTAAACATCGCTGAAGTGCAGAACAGCATCATGGATGAGCTGAACAATCTGACATTTGTCAAGGATAACGCACAGAAGTTAATGGAGCGGAAAGTGAGCTTCGAGAGACAACGGGACAAGAAAGCAATGGTAAGAAAGTGAAAACAATATAGAAAAGATTATTCCCGTCAGGACTCGAGACTATAATGCAAATTCTGGCCTTCAATCTGCCCTGTTTAGATCCCTGGTCAGCTGTGGAAGCAGCTTCTGTCAACTTCTCATTGACTCCAGGGTGAAATAAAAGTCACACATATTCCCCTGAGTTTTAATTTTTTTTCTGAAGCAATTCCAAGCCATAAATGAGCAGCTATAAGTCTTATCAAAGGCAGACACAGAGGATAGCTCCAGGCTGTGATTAACTGGGGCACCTGGCAACCCAAATCCCCCCCAGGTATCAGTCCCCCGAGACTGATAAACCTATATGTGTGTAGGTGTACAGATATGCATACACATCTGTGCATATATGAGTGTGCTTGTGCTCGGACATGGAGTGTAGATCTATTTGAAACTCCTACTTCCAGGAGCTTATTACCTTCCACCCTCCTTCGTACACTGATAACCAACAACATGCTGACATGTGCCCACACACCAGACCCACTTCAAATAATTACACCCTTTGTGCTGTGCTGTCCTCCAGATGCCGGAGGTGCAGCATCAAACCGAGGAACAGCGCGCCTGGCTGCTGGCAGAATACCCACCTAGCCTTTTGTACCAGCTGAAGAGGAAGTGTAACGGCTGCCAGGAGCAGGACCTCAGCCTGCTGGAGGGAGAGCTGGTAGCCCTGCTGGAGGACACGGACCCATTAGGCAGCAGCAGCCGCTGGCTAGTTCATACTGGAGGCGAGTGTGTGTATGTGTGTGTTTGTAAGGACAAAGACCCTCGGGGCAAGGTAGCTCTCGGTGCATGCTGTTAGTAAGACAAAGTAAATTATCAGAGTAGATGATCTGCAGGTATGGTCGGTATAGGTCTGCTTTTATACACATTCCTCTGTAAGTGCACCTGCATCTGTTAGACGACAGCGGCTGTGCAGACACACACCAAACTTTACTTTCTGACACTGACAAGTCAGCACACAAGAATGAGTCCCAGGGGCTCCTGTGATGTCATGGTTGCTGGTTCCTCTTTGCCCGCCTCTGGAGATGGTTGCCTCACAACAGGGCCAACTCCATAGCTTGTCTCCATCTCCCCTCTACATCTCACAGAGGCACCTGAGATCCCGATGTCTTGTTTGGAACAAACCACTGCACGTTGTAAGCAGTGTTACCTAGAGTACAAAGCGTCTCCCTATGGGTATTCGGAAACAAGGACGGAGAGACGACGCACGCGCGGCTCTCTGTACTCAACAATAACAAGTTTCCTTTTTTTATGAGCTCTAGAAAAAAAAAGAGTGTGTTCATGTTTCTTGGTGCGAAGTACATTCTTCACAGACTTGTCTTTTCCTCTGGGATTAGAAGCATTCCCAGGAAGTTGTTATTCATCCTTCTGTTGATATCAACAGTATGAATATGCTTGCCTCACATTTACACATTCAGTTCGCTCACATGGATTTAAGATTGTGTAAGCAAATGCTCTAGCTTCTGCTTACAGCCTTAATGTGAGACATGTAGACTCATATAATACACATTTATACTCCAGAGATGATGCACATTTATTTATAGGAAGCAGTCTCTTGATTAACAAATGAAAAGGTCTTATGAAGTACAGTTTGTTCTGTAATTACCTTACTATAATACTGTAACAAAAAAAAACAAAAAAAAAAACCCTGAGATTTGTCTCTTAAGGTCCACAGACCTCCCTGAGAACAGTTTTTATTGGCACTAATGTCCGAAGTCTACTGAAGAAATACTACCAGAGAAATAGTTTGTATATAAATGGTTGACAATGTGTCCTGTAGATCGGTGGTCCCCAACTGGTCTAGACACGGGGTCCAGATTTCTCCTTAGTCATTAGTTCAAGGTCCACGGTTTAATATATTTAGCGTCATACTTGCGTTCAGGCATGCCGTAGTTTGCTGTCTCTGTCACGTAGCTGTCCATTAGTTCAACACATTCTCAGTCTGACCTCGTCACATACTGATTGACCAGGTCAGTCAGGGTACCTTGCATGTCCACATACGTCGTGCAGGGTACCCTGGGTGCATTGGTTATTGACGTTCTGGGACACCGTTTAAGGTTCTCTACTTTCAAGATACACTTCCGTTTTCACAGGAAATTTAACCTTTACATACAGTCTCTTTCAAAATAAATGCACTACGTCAGTACAACACAGCAAATTGACGTTTTTTCCTTCAACAACAAACACACATGGCTGTGTTTAGGCAACAAAAGCACGGTTAAGTTTAGGAAAAAAGAACAGGGTTTGGCTGTAGAATCTTACGGGACACGAACACCGCCCTCTTGGGTGAAAGTCTATGTTTGTTAGACACCACCCCTCCAGCCCCACTCTGACTTTTGCTGCCCTAAGTTACATCCTTGTCCCACCACGTTTTCCCCTGATGCTGCTGGGTGCCGTTAAAATATAACGGCAACCAGCTGCGTATCATGCTGATGTTAAAGGACACCTTTTTTGTTGGTTTATGACACCACAAATTACTGCCCAAGCGTTGGATTTCAACGACTTTGGAGTAAGACCGGGCTCTTAGTCATTCACTCTATAGTAGGAAAAGGTTCTTCAAAGAAAAAGCTTTGTGCTGGAACTCACTGTACTTTAGTGAAAGTTTAGTCGAAAATTCAAAATGTTTTAGTCAACTGACGCTGCTCTGGTGTGAGTGTCTTTGCTGGCTAGCGAAACATCCTGCAACAGACTATTTACTGGACTTTACCAGCCCATTGCCAATGCAGCATTTGAGGATAATTACAAGCACGACAGTTCTTAGCTTTCAATGTCTGATAGTCCACCACTAACATTTTCGTCACGCCTTGTCTCATCAACGAAAATGAAACATAGATTTTGTCTTACTTTCTATTACCAAGATCTATTTCTAACACATCATAGTTTTGCTTTCGTCATTGATGAAAAATGTCCTTCATAGTTTTCTTCAACGAAATTTACACTGCTTGTGGTCCATTCAGAATAGACTCACGACCCACTTTTGGACTGCAACCAACCAGTTGGGAACTACTGCTGTAGATGATGCAGAGTAACTGGGACACTGTTTGTGAAAAGAGATGCTGTGATGAATTTTACTGTAAGCTTTCAGTGTTTTATACACTATAGACAAAATTAATTCCACCCCAATTAGAAATCTAAGAGAACAATTTAGCTACCAACCTTCTAAAATTAAGTCAGAAGTCAGGCATCCTGACAAACTGTCCCTTTGTGTCACTGTTAGGTACACAGGGCTACGTCTACTCCACATTCCTGAAACAGTACAACCCTCTGAGGGACTCCCAGCGGGCAGGCCAGATGGCCAAAGAGCAGCAGCAGCAGCAGCCGCCTGCCATGGTGGACGAGGACTTTGACGACCTTAGCCTGTTTGTGTCAGGCAGTGGCAGCAGCAGCCTGCGCAGCTTCAACCTCAACACCACTGACAGCAGCTCGTCCCTCTCTGGACTACAGGGGGAGCCAGACAGCCCTGAGGACCTGGATGACACACTGGACAGTAACTCTCAGCAGGTGTGTGTGGTAGCCTGCATGTGTTTTTCAAAACTGGTCTTGCACCGTAGGGATACCATTTTAGGATACTGCAATGCTTAGAAGAAGGGAGATGGGCAAAAAAGATTCAGCTGATTTTGGTCATCAGCCTGAGAACAGTCTAGGTCAGAAAGCTTAACGGGACAGTTCACCCCAAGATCAAAAATGCATATTGTTCCTCTTACCTGTAGTGTTATTAATCAGTCTAGATTGTTTTGATGTGCGATGCTGAGGGGTGGAGATATTGGCCTTGGATATGTCTGCCTACTCTCCATTATAATGGAACTAGATGGCACTTGGCTTGCGGTGCTCAACGCTCCAGGAAAATTTTAAAAAACTCAACAGCAATGTCTCTTTCCAGAAATCATGACCCAGTTAATCAAGATAATCCACAGACTTTGTTGTGAGCAGTTTCATGTAGGAACTATTTTCTTTATCTAACTACACCCGTCAACCACATCACTGCACAGAAGGAAGTGTGCATCTACTCATGGATAAAATGCTTGCGCCCGTGACAGCACTAGATGTAAACATTTGATGGCTTCCTCCTTGGTGAGCTAATGTTAGCTAGCTCTGTAGTGCTAGGTGAGCTAGCAGTAGATGCCATCTTCCTGCTACACACTAACACAATTGTGAGTGTAGTTCAGTAGAAGGAAAACAGTTACTACAGGAAACTGCTCATGATTTCTTGAAAGAGACATTGCTGTTGAGTTTTTCAAATGTATTTTTCTTGGCACACTGAGCACCACAAGCCGAGTGCCATCTAGTTCCATTATATTGAAGACAAGGCAGACATCTCTACAGCTGATATCTCCCAAACTCAGCAACTCACACCAAAACAATCTAGACTGATAAACAGCACTAAAAGAAAGAGGAAAAATATGTCTTTTTGATTTTGGGGTGAACTCTCTCTTTAAAATGTCCCTTGCAAGTTTTTGCAGGATCAACAGAAAGCAGAAATAAAAAAACATACCCATGTGCACACATGTGAAACACTGACTCCCAAACAGTATCAGGAATTCAGAAAGATACGGTACAAACCTGAAACACAACAAACCCCACAGAACATAAACCTCATAATTACAATAAAATAATGGCTCAGTAAGCCATGTAACTTTAACCGGCTGTAAGTGCCTGCTCACATATGAGACTCCACCTGTAAAATATGAGGCTTGTTATTATAGAGGGCCAGTAAAACTGGAGGTGTGCAGTTATATAGACTGGGTGAGTAGAAGCTCTGCTAGAGCAGCGGCTGCACACTTGATAGCTTTACAGTGTCTCTGTCTGGCTCGCATTGGAAATTAAATGGGGTGAGTAACATTAAATGATGATGGTGCTGTCACTCTGGCTTCAACTCTACAAGGCTTCATCCTCCTTGTTGTCATGCTTTATCTGCTGTGACTACCCAATATGCCTCTGATCTTCATCATAACATGACACAGTTATTGGTCTTAAACTATCAAGTGTTGACAAGGGTCAGTAGATTGTAACCAATTAAAATTAAGACTGGTGGTAACATGAGGTCCCTGCGGAAAGCTAATAAACAGTGCCACCTTCTGGATTTACCGGGAGACACACTTAAATATCATTTAATAATGTCAGTGTAAATTGAGATTTGACTGTGAAGTGCTTTTGTTCAGCTTGTTTTCACACCAGGCTACAACTGATTTGTGCCTCTTTCCACAGTTCTATGCTGTCTATGCATTTCAAGCGCGCTGTGACCAGGAGCTGACCTTGCAGGAGTACCAACATGTCCGCATCATTAAGTTCTGTGACCTTGGAGGCAATAAGGAGTGGTGGTTAGCTGAAGCTAATGGACAAAGGGGATACGTGCCTGCCAACTACCTTGGCAAGATGTCCTACGCATAAATAGAGGCCTTGTATTTATGCACAGGATATCCAGAAGACCCCAAAACCAACCTGTGGCATTTGAAACAAACTCACTTACACTTACATACATAGTTGAAATATTCCTGACTGTAAAACATGGCACATTTCTGCTTCGTCATAGGCAAAATTGGTATCATTACATGTAATTACAGGTCTCATACCGAAAGTGTTGATGTCGCATCTTTGCCTTCAGAAGATCATAACGAGAAAGCTCACCAATAATCTGTGATGAATTTCAGTAATGGTAGGAAAATACAGAGCACTGTGCTGAGCACTTTTTATACTTCAGTGTTGTCGAGTTTATATTGATAATGAAGTGATTTATTAATGAAGTCAATTTTATATGTGAAGTAATTTACAGATGAAGTAAATGTTATATGTGAAATGATTTATACATGAAGTATATATATATTTTATGCAAATGTAAAATGAAGAAATCTATGATGTCAGCATTTATATTTAACAATAATGTGAGCAATAAACACAATGCACTCGCAATACGTCCCACAGAATATAATGATTCACATTTAAGGAGACCACATGCTACGCAGTCGTTGCTACTGTCAGTTTTTAAGAAGGGTTTTAATGACGTTTCTGAATAAAAAGCGACAGTCACTTTTTCACCGGTTAGACTTGTTAGGACAGAATGAGGCACACAGTCCAGCAGCATTTACACAAAGTAAGATTCAAGTATTTGACTGGATGGTGTTACTCATATACAGATGCTCTTTTAACACAAACAAACTGCTCTGGCACACTAATTCCACAAACGTTTATTGTCTGCTCTTTCACACCTCCTCCCCCTCCTCTTTGTTTCTCTCTACCTCTACTCATTTCTTCAGTTTCTTCTGCGCCGCTTTCTTCTTCACCAGCTGTAACCGTTTCATGGCGTTTAGCTGGGACTCTTGGGATGTTGGTGCTTTGTCCCCTGGCGCAGCCTTCGCCCCGTTCCCATTGTTCCCGTTACCGCCTCCATTACTGCCTCCGTTCCCTCCTCCACCTGCCTGGGAGCCGCTTGGGGAGCCGGCCCCTGTTGAAGCAGCACCTTTCCCTTGGCTTTCACCACTCCCTGAGCGATTCAGCGGCTGCTTACCCAGAGTCAGGGGTGGAGGAGGTTTTAGAGGTGCCTGGCTGGAGCCGTTTCCGTTGCCACTTCCAGGTATCTTTGCACTCCCAAGTCCCGACTTGGCTCCTGCTAGCCCAGACAGCCCGACAGGTTTCTGGCCAGATGGAGTTGTCAAGGTCTTGTGGCTCCCACTTGTGCCAGAGGAACCTAGTTTGGAGCTGGCAGAAAGAGATGGGTTTGTTTTGGCGCCAAATGCAGCCCAGCCTGTAAGACCGCTGCCTGAGGTGGAGGAGCTGCTGATGGTGGGGTTGGCTGATGTCGTGGATGCCTGGAATTATAAACAGTTACCTCAATTATCACAGTGTAACACAAATTCAATAGTGTCTTGTTATATAATAAGAACCTTTAAAAGTTCAAAATCGAGACCCTGAGAAGATGCCAAAAGAAAGAGTCAAAAACCAAGAAATTAATTTCAGTGTTCAATAGATCAGCTTACTTGATAAAGTCTATAGTTTTTGTCTGTGGATATTGTGTGTGTTTTGTGGTACTAATTAGAATGCCAAATGAAAAGAGCCCCCAGGGAATATACTATTTACTCCTGCATGAATACGAAATATTGCAAGTATTACAATATGAACTTTTCATATGATATTAAAAATTATACCAGTAATATCGTGAACAAGATGATATGGCACACCCGTAGTGGGCTGAACAGAGATGAAAAGATGAAAATCATGTGGCCAATAACCTTCTTTTGTAATTAAAAGAAGTCGTCTCAAGATAAAGTTAAATGTGGCAATACTCCCAAACAGCAGCAGAGGAACTAGCCTTTTCTGTAGTCCTGCAACATTATCGTTACCACTTGCAGTTGCTATTTTTATTTTTTTTTTAGCACAGCTGCCTGTTCCACAAGTAGAGACTGACCTCTAGTGGCACATATTGTGCACTGCAATACATCGCCTCAACACAGCATCTCTGTATCAGTTTAATAGAAAAAGGAGCATATGTGTTTTTGACGGTATTGAAACTCTGGTATATCATAATAACTTAGACAGTATTCAGAGATTAACCAATGCATTGTCGATGCACTGTGGGATTTGTTGACAGAAAAAAAATAAATAAATAAAATTTAAAAACAACAACCTGATCTTTTAAACATATCTTCAGATCACCGCTTACAAGAGCAAATACATATTTATCAAGACATGTCAATCAGCGGAGTTACCTGCAAGCTTGGCAATGCCTCAACTTGCTTACTTGAGCAATACGCCCACTCCAACTTGAATTAACATAATCAAATCCCTGACTACAAGGCAACATGTCTGCTGTCAAAATAACCCCGGGGTGAACTCCAGTAAGTAAAAGTGCTCTAAAAAGTTTGAAACCCAATCCCTCTGGAGAAATGATACTGTACTGCAACACTATCTCAGCAGATGTCAGCGGTCTGATCCTTAAAAATTAATGTACACTTGCTGCTCATTTTCCTCTGCAGGGATTTATGCAGACTGTGTTTTAAAGCAAACTGACAGCTATTGCTCTTCTCTCACTTGCTACCAGTAATAACTTAACTGAATCCTAGTTTCTGCTTGACTTCAGGTTGACACAGGAGCACCTATTATTGTGCATCAAAGAAGGCAGCATACAGCCATACCATAGCCACACGTACCTTCACTTCTGTTCTTTTGAAGGCTTGGAAGGTGCTGGCTGTGTCAGGCTTGGCTTTAAGCTCTGTCTTTTTCACCAGTGTGTCTTTTACAACAGGTGCTGATGATGAGGATGGGGAAGGCTTCTGTGGAGGTTTCTGGGCCTAGTGGACAAACACACATAGTACTTTAGACAGAAACAATACCAACATGACTATGCACTGATTTGTCATACAATCAGTGACTACGTACATGGTGGATACTGGAATATAATTTATTTTCCTCACCATACGTTTCATTTGCCGGGTGCAGCGGGCACAGTACCACACAAGCCGTGGATCATTTACTTCTTTGTCTGTCACTTGGGGCTTGTGACAGTCCTGGTGGTACAGATTATGGCACTCCTGGCACTCAACCAGCTGGTTTCCCATGGTCACTGTCATTTGTCTTAGGCAATTAAAACACACAAGCAAAATCAACATGAATGGAAATGAATAATGAGACTGGAATGCATGCTAACATCCTGAAACTCATGTATTAGAGCAAAACTACATTTAGTTTATTTGCTAAAATTGAAGGTATACCTGCAAACCACACAAGCCAGGCCCATTTCCATGGCAAAGTCATCTGCATTGGTCTCATCATAGTCATTTATATTTGGCAGAAGGTCTTTGCTTGTTTGAACAGTTATCGGTGAAGAGCGATTCTCCTGCTTCTCTAAACGTGCCTTTTTCGGAGGGTCCACCTCACCCAAGTCCACCCTGACCTGTTTGTCAGTAAGACAGAAAGAGGAACGTTAGGACAATGCATGTTGACATCAGTGCCATACGTTACAACACTGTCAAACTGTAACTAGCCTATTCATTAGTATACTGTCCCATATGGCATAATGCAATTGTTTTTCTTGCACTTCTTGCCTGAGCGTGCAGCTTTGCAATACGGTGCTAAAGGTCTTAAGGAAACTTGATAACCAACACATAAAAAACATTTTCCTATTAGCCACTTTGACCTTCACACTAAAATGACAGATGTAAACGTGTGTAGTTACATTTGATCACGACTTAACAGTTGAAATATATGCTGTACTAATTCAAAGGAACATGTGATCACACACAGCAAAACGGGACTGGAACATAGTCGACAAAAAAGCAAAGCAACGGTCAAGATAGCCTCAAGACGCTCTGGCCTTATTTACATATTCATACCTTTTCAGTGGGTCTCTTCTCTGCCTCCTTCTTACTCTTTTCTGAGCCAGATTTGCTACTGCTACTGCTGCTGCTGGAGGAGGATGAACTTGAGGAGGACTTGGAGTCCTGTTTGCTCAAGCTTAATTTTGACACAGATCCCTTTGACACATCCATATCCTGAGGATACACAGTGATATCACAGATTACTTGGCATTCAGCTGTGTAAATTACATACACATGAAAGTTAAAGAGAAATGAATAAAAATAAGGTACAACGTAAATAAAGGCTCAAGATGTGAAAAACATGATAAAATCCTTACTTTTTGTATGGAACGGTAGTCACTGCCTCTTGACAGGGACTCATCTAGTAATGCTTTGAGTTTCTCGGCTGAATCTTTACTCTTGGAGTGCAGGTAACTCAGCCCCTTCAGGAAGATGGGATCAAGCTCCAGACTAACAGGTCCAGCCATGGCTTAAACTGAGAATCACAGAATAACGTCAGCTTTTAAGGCTTCAGTTATAACCTTATCAAAAACTCATTCATACCCACTGCCATAAACATCTTAAATAAACAATGAACAATGGACAAAAATAACCCTGATGCACTATGTCCCTTTACACATATCCACACCTTTTATCTTGTCTATTTTTACAGTTTTAATTTTATACTTGTTTTTAAGATCTATACACACCGAATCTGTGTTGTGCGATTGTTTCTAATCAGTGTATTGTCTTGTCTTGTATGTGGAGGCACGTTGAAGAAGATTTTCTGTTATGACAGACAATAAAGTTTTCTGAATCTGAATCTGAATCTGAATACCACTGCTAAGGTCATTCTAGGACAAGTCAGGGTACGGAAATGACAGAATCTTGAAATATAAAAAGACAAAACAAAAGCTGTAGCTGCCACTTAGACACTGCGGTGTAAGCTTGGACTGAGAGCTTTGGAATTAAATACCGACAGAGCACAGTAAAACACTTCATTGATTTGAAGAACAAAATGTCCCTCCAAGGGCTTAAATCTCTACAGATCTTTGCTAGAGTCAATACAACACTGCACAGTGTCAACATAAGGTTTCTTGCATCTACAGCAGGAGTGTCCAAACTTTTTTTTTTTTAAATAGGGACCAGATTAGACGCATCAGTGGTGGCCAGCTGCTCCTCAGATCATATGAATCATTAAAAAAAATGCAACTGTTTCGTCTTTAAGTGAAAAAGTATTCAACTTTCAGCCACTCCTGAAGGCGATGGCCCTCACTCTAGACCTTATGCTATCTTGCTGTAATTATGTCTGCTACCTAGCTGGAAATATCTGGTGTTAGGTATTTGTACTCTGTCTTTGAAAATACATTAGTTCCCCCTGTATAGTTCTTTCTTGATGCATGTCTACAAACTGTATGATTGCCCTGCCATTGTAAGGTGAATGAACAAAAAGTGTAAAGCGATCTTGCTTGATTATCCAGTATTGTGTTAATTACAAAGTATATTTTGAAAGACAAGCCAAGGGCCTTTTGAAATTGGACTGAGGGCCAAAATCGGCCAGACTCTGGAGGTGACTGATCTACAGCCTCCTAGATAAAACTCAGCTACTTAATATACAGACTTCACAATCATTCTGCTATATTAAATTGGGCTTTTGACACTGTATTTTAAACTAAACAAAACACATGTACACACACACACAAAATTCCAAACATAACACATTAAAAATATTTGAAAGGATTGAAATATTTGTGGTTAATGCCTCTGTTTTTCTTAAGGGCAGCCTAGTCACACTCATACCTATCATATCATCCTTTTTTTTAGTATTTCAGACATTTGGACAATAACCATAATCATTAATATTGAACACATAAGAAGATGCACTAATACAAAATGAAGTCAGAGAACAAGAGAGTAGAAATGGAGAGAAATGAGCCAAAGAACAGCCTCTGAAGAGAGGAAAAGAGACTGCACGTCGACCAGGACTGTTGTTCAATTGTTCACAGTATACTTAATTTACACCTAACGTTACGTGCTATGCTGCTTTGTCGGAAGTAACCTCTAACGCCTCTGGGTTGAGTCTTAAATGTCCTCTCTGTCCTGAACAAAAGAAACACACACCTTAACATGGAGTTATCTTGGTTGCTCTGTAACGTTATTAGTCCGGAGCAGACACTCAGAGCACTGAGACGTTACTAGCACCACACAGAAGCTAAAGTTACCTCCCCCGTTAACTGTCAGTTATTAAACAAAATTCACAGGTTATATGTTCAAGTTGAATAACATTACCTCACACGCTGCTTCTGGTAAAAACCTGCCACTTGACCCGGTATTCTCGGTTTGTTGAGCAATTAACGGTTGGGCAACACTTCCTTCTCGAGCTGCCGGGGCGGACGGTTTCCCTGCGCAACCGTTTAATGTGTCCGGAATCTACACGCACGGAACCCTGTGTGAGGAAATTAGTTTTATTTAATATCCTACACACTTTAAAGCTCTAAGTTTAATAAATAATGAGATGTGTGGCATATATTTTAACTATTTAAAATTTATGTAGCGATTTAATATATATTTCCGTTACTACTGACTCGTAAGTTGACAGCGGGTGGCGCTGTGGAGCTAACCTAGCTTTAGCATCATAGCTTTAGCACAAGGAAAGAAGAAGCGGTAACTTACTGTGACAGGAAGCGTGTACTACAACAACGTGGGTTTATTGAAGTCGCCGGTGTTTATGTCCGCATTACTAAAGCTTTTGTAAGTATTTATTCATGTCATTTTATGCGCTGAATCCCAAATGTTATTTCAGTTAACACTATCTTGCTGCCACATTAAAAACACACCTGAACACATCACCAAAGCTAACTACTTGTTACCCTTCTTCTGTTTTTACCTTTACCCTACAGTATTATTCACAATGAAGCACACGGAGGTGCAGCAGCAGCATCCCTCCCTCTATCTTGAAGTTTGCTCCCAAAATGAGGAGCAGCGTCTCCCTCTGCACACCTCCATCGCCCTGTTCCTCCTCTCCTACTGCGAGTGCAAATCTTTCAAAGTTTTCCTGGTCTTCACCAAACCTGGCAGCTCCCAGTCACTGAAGAGTCAGCTACCAGAGGGTTTGGATGTGTCTGACATTCAGTTGGAGGATCTGCCTCAGTTGGTGAGGGGCTGCCGTCTCCCTGCTGTGTTGGATGAGACTGGGAGGCTGTGCAGAGCAGGGCTGGCAGTGGTCCTGAGACATATCATCAACAAGACCTTGGAGGCTGATCCCTCCAGGAATGATGTGCTGGCACTGCTGGGATTCAAGAAGACCTGTCTGAAGGCCTGTGCTGAGGTTAGTGGCAAGAACTCAGTCCACTGGAGCACAGCATCAGACACAGTGATGGCTTTTAACTACAACTCACCCTTAAGCAAGGTGTACGAAGAACAGAAAGAGCAGTTAAAGGGTTGAAAATCTAAGCACACTTTTAGGCTTGTGGCATTTATAAAAGTTGCAGGAGGTATAACCCAAGTGTCAGTCCAGATTGTACAACCAAAGATCTACAATTAATTTAAACGTTTTTCTCTTCCACATCTCAATTTCATTGAAACACTGTGTCTGTGATGTGACAGAGTACTATACATACTTAGTGTACATAGTGACATAATGCTATTATGTCAGTGTCAGTTAACCAGATTTCACGAACACTAAATTTATGGGTTCCATAATTTCCCAGAGAGGAACTGATACACAACTGTAAATTAAACAGTGTTTCTAAAAAAGACTAATTTGCTTCTAATCATTGAGAAATTAAGACATTTATACACTTCAAAATAATTAATTCTCATTTATTACATAGTGTATATAGCAGTGATTCTCAAGTTATTGGATTTTTAAATTATATAACCCCTTTTGAAACATTTTTTTCAGCCAAGTGCTCCCTGACCAGTGCAAAACATTTCTGGCAAATGCCTATATAACGAGGTACAATAGTGCTGAGCCGTCAATATCTGATTTACTAAACAACAACCCTGTAACTGAAAAATGCTGCCTTTCAAATTTTAGAAAGATGTGTTTGAGAAAAGGTGGCTTACAGAAGATGAAAGACTGTAACTATACTGTCACTGTATTTAATTAATGAAACTGTGTACAGTATGAGCTACTAGAACTTATTAGTTATTATCTTCTACTTCTCATCCATACTTCTCATTTATTTCCTTTCATTCATTTCCCGTAGATGCTTATCCTTTTAGGGGTTGCGAGGGTGCTGGAGCCTATCCTATAATAACTAAACATCATTATTATACTGTGAATGTATTGGTTGTTTATATCTTTTATTTATTTTACTTTATTTTCCCTTTAACTCTGATCAAAAATTGGCTTTGTAATGATTTGTAAACTAAAAAGCAAATAAGCTTTATATATGAAAATGGGCTTGAAAAAATAAAGTATAAAAAAATCATCAAAAAATCAAAATTTGTTAACAGGCAGGCGTATAATTCAACATAGAGTATATGGAGGATGGACTTTCCAATAATTAATGAAAAATGAATGAATATTTTTTGGGGGGGGGGAGGGGGGGGTTTGTCTGACTTTTTCCCCAGAATTGGGTACCAATTTACATACTTCTTCACCAGAAAATTCCTACGGGTTTGTTAGGAAAATACAGACTCAGTAAAATAAAGCATCACTGTTGCATCTTCAGCTGATTGTGGTTGAAAGTAATCAGAGGTGCTAGTTCCTTGGCTGATGAAATGTCAAGCTATCGATGGACAAACTCTTCTTTCGCAAACTTTTCACTTGGGTTAATGGAGTTTTACAGCGTGTTGATTGTGGTTTGGTCACAGTGTCAACAGCATTATACTTAGACAGACATCAATATAACATCTCACAAAAATAAACAGTGCTTTTAAGGTCAGTGCTGTATTTGACCTTAAAAAATCCTTTTTTTTCACCCTCAGGTGAGCAGGTGGACCAGACTGTGTGAAATTGGCATCCCCTCTGCTGTTGAAGAACACCTCAAAAATCCCACAAATCAATATGAGCAGCTGCCTCTCTCCATCCTCACCCTGGAGCGAAGGCTAGCGGAGCCTGTCAAAGTCCACAATGATGACAAGATACGGAGAAAGAAGCTGCAAGAGCAGAGACAGAGTGAAAAGAATGAGTTCCCCGAGGCCCAAGGGAAACCAGACTCTGAGTCCGGACAGTCACCTCAGGTCAGTGATGGACTAGAGCTCAGGGCGGCTCTGGCAAAGCTGTCTGTGGATTCAGTACCAACTTCAACCACCAGAGAGAACTCTGAGATCAGGAAAGTGAAGACGACGGACCTGCCTCCGCTGGAGCATGTGTTTGCTGAAGGACTGTACTTTACATTGACTGATGTGGTGCTGCTGCCGTGCATTCATCAGTACTTGGTAAGGGCCTTGGAGTTTATGATTTATACTTGAGTGTTGTCAGTGATGAGCCCTTGTGGCTAGGGATCCGATTCTTATCACATCATGTGCTCTTTTAATGCTGTAATCAATGGCTATATTTCCTGTACAAGCCGTATACTGTCAATGCTCTGACACACTGTGAACTTTACATAGTTTACTGTAAGTGAAATACCCATTATTGTGCCGTGACAAGTCAAGTGTAGCCATGCACGGCTTTGTCTCTCAATGTAAACAGTAGCACACATGACTTACGTCTGATGTCACCTCATACAGATGGTGCCATTCAGTCTACAAAACCCCCCCTAACTTAAATTTGCTGCCTTCATAGTACCATTTTCCACCAAAATTAGCTCATGAATCTGTGTTTTTTTTAAATGCAGAAAAACTCATTTTAAATAGGTGATAGATTGCTTTCCTGTTGCTAGTAGACAAGTATGCAAGTATGTCCTTCTTTTGTATTTTTTTATTTTATTTTTTGACCAGTGTGTTACGACATCACAGACGGGCCAGAAAACAGATTAGTAAACAGTAGAAAGGAGCATGGAGGCCTGTGGAAATGTTACAGTGATTTCTTCTGTTTATATATCTCTAGCTTATTCAGTTTGTCTTTTACACTCAGTGTCAGCTATATTTGCCATGTCTATTCATTCTGTTGAAATCTGGTATTTCTGCACAGTTGCAGATGAAGATTAAGCTGCACCAATATTATTAGTATTATACTATCTGTAGAATTAGATTGGGCAGGTTCGGGTAAGTGCACTAAAAAATATCATGGTTTTGGGCGGGCAGGTCAAAAAAGTGACAAGGCAGTGTTCTGAGTTAAGTTATCAAAAACGTACCAGGGCTGCAACTAACGATTGTTTTCTTTGTTGATTCATCTGTTGATTATTTTCTTGATTAATTGATTAGTTGTTTGATATAAAAGATGTCAGAAAATAGTGAAAAAAAAGTCAATCAGTGTTTCCCAAAGCCTAAGATGACGTCCTCAGATGTTGTGTTTTGTCCTCAACCCAACGATATTAAGATTATTGTTGTAGAGAAGTAAAAATACCAGGAAATATTTACATTTCAGAAGCTGGAAAAGAGTACTTTGACTTTTTTCTTTAAAATATTGACAAATTGATTATCAGATAAATTAATTTAATAGTTGACAACTAATTGATTATTTGTTGCAGCTGTAAAACTTACAGAAACATTGCGTGCAATAGTCCACCTTCCACTTTCTCTTTCCCTTTCTCGCTGGAACAAGCTAACACTTTGGAGAGTGCTGCCATGTGCACAGTCCTTGCCCTTGTCTCAGCCTTCAGTCCTGACAGTTGTGCCATTATAGTGCATAAAGTTGGCAGGTTGCGGGTTGGGTTGCGTCTGGGTAGTTGATTAATGCAGTTTTTTGCAGGGTTGGGCAGTGCGGATCGGCTCTCACAACAGGATTTATTAATTAATTTATTTTAGGTCAGAAAACATGACGACACATTCAAAGCTACAATCAAAAACCTTAATAGAAGCTTTGAATATAAAAAAAAGAACATTCGCTACAGTCCTACTTTTTAATGTATTTATTTTGATGACTGGTCATATGCATGACTTATGGTTTTGACTCTGTGGTCAGGGTGAGCAGACAGTACACCCAGCTCCTTTCAGATCCACCCAGGCAGAAACTTGAGTAAAGAAGACTCGCTGCATCAGACTTGGCACAGGTTGTGCTCTCAAAGGTGGTCCAGAGCCACCTGGCAAAGAGTGATAACAGTGTATGGGAGGGTTTCTATTCAAATGCAGCAGGTTGAAATGCATTTCAATGACTTTCCCTTGGGAACATTTTTCTCTCGGTAACAGATCAAGAATTGGTGGGTTGTTATGCTGACCTTAAAACTCTTAACTTAAAAAAAATCTGCAAGACTCGTGAACATTTTTTGAATATTCATTATATAGAATGATTGCATATTTTACAAGTAAAGTCGGTGGCAGCGATTAAAGTAACTGCGGCGGAGACCAGAGCGCACAGCGATTTAGTTCAATGGTATATTGTTATTGATCAGGAATGTTGCACTGTCAGGCAGTGAAGTGGGTCTCAACCTCCATTTCACCCTTCAGCCGCCTCCAACTATTCCTCGACTGTGGGAATGGACTGAAGTTCTCACAATGAGGCTTTTAGTAGTCAGCTGTGCTCCAGTGGTTTCCAGTTTCACACTCAGCCTAGCGTGTCTCCTCTTAACGGCCGTCACTGTCCTCGACACATGTGGCCACGACTGATCCCTTCCACTCCACCCACTTGTCCGACTGCAGAGCGCCCCTTCTCCCTCAGTGCGTCTGTGTCCCCCTCTCTCTTTCTTCTGTCTTCCACACATAGTCACACACAGTGACACTGCGCCTCTGATCATGTCTCTGTTTGTGTCTTTACCCTGCCCACCTGCCAACGCTGTTTTGATGTTTTTCCTGCCGGCCCCCTCGCGTCTATCCGTCTGCCAGCATGATGAGTGAATTCTGCTGGAACCTGACATCTCGCTCCACTGGAGATGACATGTCAGATGAGTCACTTAATCAATATCTCCTTGTTTTGTCTCCTCTTTTTTCTTTCATTCCTTTTATTGTCTTTGATAGTGTTCACTCCAAGCCCACGCTGCGAGCACTCTACATCAGCTCCCCCACCTGCTGCGTTGGTACAGCCGCGTTCAGGAGGTACCTGGGGTCCTCCGGGCAGCTGAGGCCTGTGGGATGGCTTTCTCCATCCCCCAGGTTCCCACATACAGCCACCCAGAGCCATCAGCAGAGGACAACGCAGCCAGCCTATTGGAGCAAGAAGAAGGCCAGGAGATGACCACACAGCTTCCCTTTGTCGGCGGCCCCCGGCCCACAATGACTAAACTTCAAGTAAATTATTACATTTCCTTACTTATTTCTCATTATGTTTTACCTACCTCTCTGTGGTGCGCAAATGATTTGCTTTCACATTTCTGTAAATGTGAGGCACTGTCTCCCAGTGCCCCTTTGCAGTACAGATAGAGGGTTTGAAGACTCCAACTGGTTGTTAACTATTATCCCTGTAATTTCATGCACCCATTTTCTGCTGATTGTGCCTTCAAGAGTGTAGCTCTAAGTTAATGTTTTGGCTTCTGGCAGACTTTCTTAATTGTTGAATTTTCCTCTTTCTGCCAGTGCTTAAACGTTAAGTGCTTTCAGTCACTGAATTAACATATTAAGTGGGCTGTTTTAGGATGCTGTCCTGTGCACATGGTTTTCCTCTCATATAAGTTTGTATGACTGTTTTTTATCAGTCAAGACAAACCAACACACAAAGTCACCTGTCTTAAAAGAAGAACAGAATCTGTTTATATGAACAGTACCGCCCTTGGTGCATTATAAAATGCCCCATTCAGTATTATCAGTGGATGCGGTTGCCACTTGCAGTAGTGCAGACAATGCACATTCAGCTTATCCTCATTTCAGATGCAATAAAAACAATGAATCCAGTCCAAAACAAAACAAAGTTTTATAGCCAGACTAAGTAGTTTATAGTAATGGCTTAAAATCTTAGTGTAAAGAGACAAGACAGCGCACAATAGTAGCATAATGTGTCCGGGGTTTTAAAATGCAATTCCCTCAGGAAGCATTGGCAAGACACACACACACAGTCACACAAATTTATAGCATTCTTAGCGCCGTGGCACGCCAAATATTGCCCCTGCAACACTTTAGCTACTACCTTTTCCAGAAGGAGATAAGCAGCCCCAGCTGTTTAAAAGGAGACTGTCTCCTCAGCCCTGACTAACCTCTCGCTGCTAAGCCTTTAGACTGTTCTCTTGGCCTTGTTGCTCTGCTCCCTCAGCAAAAAAATATTTCTGTGATTTCCTGCTGGCTAAATGTCTATAACAATGTGATTTTAAGCGATGGCAAGAGAGGGAAGCTGTATCTGGAGAGTCTGGACGAGACTGAGTGAGCTGGGTGGTCAGGATGAGATGCGCTTTAAACATGCCATGCTGCCGGATGAAATTTAGTTAGGCCCAGATGTGAATAAATGACAGTTTTCATGGCAGGTTGAAATCAGACATTAAAACTGAGAGGAATGTACACACAAACACATACACACATACACACAGACCTCCACAATGGCCACCATTCTTTCTTTGCCTAGAGGGATTACAAGGATGGCTGCGTGTCGCCACCATCATGTCTGCACTGCAGCTGTTTTGTTGTCTTGGCCAAGGTGCCTGTGTGTGTTTGTGTGTACATTATGTTCTCATATGTGTGTATGTGTGCGCACATATGTCCTCATATATGACTGTGTGCGTCCCAAGGCAAGTACATGGAGACAGAGAGGCCTGCCGTCTGACACGGTGACACGCGATCCTTCACTGCTGCTAACCAGAGGCACCGGGCTCATCCTGGCTTCTCTATTCACAATATAAATGGCTCATAAACTGCCCCTCTTTCTCACTTCAGTTAACACACACTGATGCATGCCAGTCGAACTGCCTGTGCAATGAGCTGTGGAGGCTCAACCTGTGATCCAAATGTAAACAAAAGGGTAGCTCCACTACCGGAATTCAGCACCAAACACTAAAGCCCGTCTGCTGTCACTGACAAATTGATTGACAGGTCTTTAAATGCAGTCGCTAGCATTAGACAATTGAATCTACAAAAGCAGTAAAATATGGGGGTTGATCCAAAGAAGGAGGATTAGTGAGTTAACAGGATCACTTGAATCTGAATTTAGGGAAATCTTGGATTGTCTGTCGGCAGAATGGGGCTCACAGGAAAGCCAGTGTCCCAGAAAGTGGGATTACTGAAAGTCTGTGTTTGTCCCTGTTGAAACTTATGTGCAGAAACTAACCAGCTACGTGGCAGGTTACTCACTCCTTCTAGTCCTCAGTTGTGCAGAAAGGGTTTGGCCTTTGTTTGCCGTTTAAGACTCATCTCTACCAGCTTGAAGTGTCCGCCTTAATGCAACTTCAGAATATGACTGATGCACTGTGAAAATGTGGCCTAACCAACACACATGTCAATGCTTGATCTTTTGAACCGCAATGTTGCTGCTTGTCTTGTCAGAATGTGACTGAGGGTGCCATTAGGGAAGGTATCTACTGTATCTTTTTCATGTGCACAGTCAGCTTGTGTGCTTTAAATGTGCTAATATTTTTTAATGGCTTACCTTGGGGCCAGAATTTAATGCACGTATAGGTCCTGTTTGTGCACGTGTGTGTATTTCTGGCCTGTGTGTATATGACAACAGAGTGAAAATAGTTGAATTTCCCCTCAGGGATAAATAAAGTATATCTTCTTCTTCTTCATCCAGTAATTCAATGGAATTAGGCCTAGATGTTCAGTTACAGCATTAACAATCATTGTGGACTATTGTGGGTCGGTGGAATAGCTTAAAATTGAATCACATGTTTAGATTGAAGTCCAACTTAATGGTCCACTTTCTGAAATACCTACCATGCCTTCACCCAGTGATGAAAAACTTTGAGTGCAGTGGTTCCCAACTGGTGGGTTGCAGTCCAAAAGTGGGCTGCTGGTCAATTCTGAACGGGCCGCAAGTGACTCATGGATGTTTCAGGTATGTAAAAAGCCCAGAGCTTTTATTTTGGAGTGCTGTTTCCTGCCGTAGATTGAGTGACTTGCGGACAGCTACTTGACAGAGACAGCAAACTAGCTCGACAGCATGGCCACACGCAAGTATGATGCGACATATTAAACTGCGTGGACCTTGAACTGATCACTAAGGAGAAACCTGGACCCCGTGGCTGGACCAGTTGGGAACTATTGTTATAGCCGAAACAGACAACTTCTCGGTCCCCCGGATTTTCAAGTAATGTTATTGTTGGTGCAGCTGTCATGAAGACATCCGGATCACTGTCTGTTTTCTGTAGAGCCCGAACAAATACCACATTTTCCACAGCTACTTTGGTTGTTCCACGGTCTGTCATTTCCAGTATTGGGGGTAGTAGGTTCAAAGAACTTACACTGATACTCTTTAGTTACTGGGAATAGAATCAGAAATTCTTTATTGATACCTGAGGGGGGGATAGCTACCAATAGCTACTGGAGAAAACCAAAGTGCTATCTTCTCCTTGTTTTGGTTGCGTAATTTTTGACGCGCTTCATTTGTGCCATAATTTGAGCCTTCATTTTCCTTGGAAGTCACATAGTGGCAGACAGAATTACAAAGTGAAAGCGATGCTTAAAACATTAATTTTTATAGTGATAAGTTAAAATAAAAACTCTATGTTCACTTTAAACCTCCAGGTTCATTGTAATGCAATTCACTAGAGCAGTTCTCTGATACAGAATATGCTACAGCATGAAACTTACAATGAATTTTAATCGCTGTTGACATGGTGTCAGAAAGGTGCTTATTTAACTCTGGGGTCATTTTGAGGCTGTAATTTGTTGTGTTCTTGTAGTGGAATGCATCATTATATGGTGTTTTTAATGTTTTTGCTCCTCAATTAGAGTAGATTAAGTCGTAAATAAATAAATAAATGTTGATGTAATGTTACACAACACCACACAGTTCAGCTCCAGTGTGCCAAAGTCAGTCCACAAGCAGCCTAAGTAGTAGTGGCAGCGTTAGTGAAATATTTTCAGTCAAACAGTATTTAGTGCAGGGCAGTTGTGTTGTGTTGTATTGCATCATTCAAGTGTTAATATTTTTGTGGTCTTTTAGCGCACATCTTAAAGTTATTTTTTAACTATATACCCGGCTTACCCGGGTAATATGCTATGATAGGAGGTATTCTGACAGTAATTGTGCAACACCATTGCAACCTATTAGTACGAGCCTCTGTTGTATAGATCAGATGTGGGACCAAGTCATTGTTTTGCAAGTTATAAGTAAGTCTAAATTTTGGTACTCAAGTCCCAAGTCAAGACAAGTAAGTCCCAAGTCCTAAACTTTGAGTTTGGAGTCCTGAACAAGTCACAACGTGCGTCTCACCAAATGTAATGCCACTTTAACATAAGAATAATTATATATTAAATTTACAAAAATCATGAATGCTTTACCCCGCCTCTCGCCCAATGTCAGCTGGGATAGGCTCCAGCCCCCCGCAACCCTCAATAGGATAAGCGGTTACGAAAATGGATGGATGGATGGATGATTTAGGAGATGAATGACTTCATGGCACACTTTTTAAATAACATCTAACCCCACTTCCAAAAAAAAGTCGGGACACTGTGTAAAACGTAAATAAAAACAGATTGCAGTAATCTGCAAATCCTTTTTGACCTATATTCAATTGAATACAGTCCAAAGACAAGATATTTAATGTTAAAAATAGTAAATTTTAGACACTTCTTCTAAATTTGACCCCTGTAACACATTACAGAAAAGTTGGGATGGAGGCAGCAGTAGACTGGGGAAGTTGAGGAATACTCAAAAACAGATATTTGGAACATTTCACAAGTAAACAGTTTAATTGGTATCGGGTATAAGAGGGCATCTTTGAATTGCTCAGCTGTTCACAAGTAAGGGCAAATAGTCCAACAGTTTGACACCAACCATTTCTCAATGCACATCTGCAATGAATTTAGGGATTTCACCATCTACAGTCCAGAATATCACCAAAAGATTCAGAGAATCCACAGAAATCTCTGCATGTAAGGGGCAAAGCTGAAAACCAATATTGAATGCCCGTGACCTTTAATCCCTCAGATGGCAATGCATTAAAAACTGACTTACATTTATAGGTTTACTACATGGACTCAGGGACGCTCTGAAAAACCATTATTGGTAAACACAGTTTGTCGCTGTCTATGAATGCAAGTCATGACTCTATCTTGCAAAGTGAAAGTCATGTATCAACAAAATTTAGAAGTTATGGGCCTGAGATGGACTGACACAAATTGGAAAAGTGTGCTCTGATGAGTCCACATATAAAACTGCAGGGCCCATGGTGTCATGGGTAATTTGCACGTCTGTGAAGGCACCATGAATGCCGAAACGTACAGAAAGGTTTTGGAGCAACGTGTGCTGCCATCTAGACAACGTCTTTTTTAGCAATGTCCTTGCTCATTTAGCAAGACAATGTTAAGACACTTTGTGCTCGTGTTACAACAGCATGGCTTTGTAGCAAAAGAGTGCGTGTACTTAATTGGCCTGCCTGCCATACAGACTTGTCTCCCGTTGAAAATGTGTGACGCATCATGGAGCACAAAACGCAGCAATGGAGACCCTGGACTGTTGAGCAACTGAAATTGTATGTCAAGCTAGAATGGGAAAGGATTTCACTCACAAATCTTCAACAATCAATGTCTTCAGTTCCCAAACACTTACTATGTTTTGTTATAAAGAAAAGGTGATGTAACACAGTGGTAAACATGCCCTGTCCCAACTTTTTTGGAACTTACTGCGGGCATCAAATTCAGAATGAGTGTATATCTATATAAAAAAAAGTTTGAGACTTTGAACATTAAATTTCTTGTCTTTGCACAAATTGATTTGCAAATCTTTGCATTCTGGTTTCATTTACATTGTACACAACATTCCAACTTTTTTGGACTTGAGATTGTACTTTCTATTTTTTTCTAAGATACCAAGTATTTGAAAGTCACAAAGCACAAGTCCAAGTCATTGCTGTTAAAGTCCCCAAGTCAAGTTACAAGTCATTTTTGATTTTGAGCCTGAAGTAGGGCTGCTGGATTATGGAAAAAATCATAATCACGATTATTTTGGTCAAAATTGAAATCACAATTATGCAAACGATTATGCGGCGCACGTGATGACTTATTTACACAACGGCATGTCATTTCTGTTTCCACATGGTCGCGCGTTTACAATTCTCCTCTGCTCTCTGTATCGCGCACGGCGGAGTTCAGCCCTGATGTGAACACACACACACACACACACACACACAGACCAACCTCTCTCGCTCTCCCTCTGCCATTTTCAGTACGCTGTTTTTGAAATCTTCGGCCATCACCTGCCCCTCACATTATTCGATTTCACCTACTTGACTGGCTCGTGGAGTGAACAGAGGAGAGGAGGGGGTAGTATTGCACATGCACGGCTTCCGGGTGCGTTTGATTTGCAACACAAGACAATGAGAGTAAACTGACAAGAAACGCATAATCGTTTTATGTCGATTATTTTGTTTTCATAATTGTTGAAAGCCCAAATCGTAATCTAGATTAAAATTCAATTAGTCGAGCAGCCCTAGCCTGAAGTGTTACTCGGGTCCACACATTCTGATAAAGTTATCATGAGGTGCATCGCCACATGAAGTTATTGTAGTGCTAACTACACAATATTTGGGGAAAAAATACCACAAAGAAAATCATAAGGCATCACATTAGTGTTACTTCAACCACAACAGCAACCTATTGTGGGATACCACTTTACCACTATATGAATGACATTTTATCTACGCCACACATCCCTTTTGCACCGTAATCACACTGTGATTTCCTATCTGTTAGTGCCCCTATTATCAGATTTAATTAGAGAGGCCACTGATGAGAAGGCAAACATGAAGCTGTTACAAAATATTTTCCCCAAAGAGTTTTTTTGTATTAATTTGTTTGCAACGATAAAGACTCTCCCGATTTCCCACCTTTATGGACTGAGCTGTAGCACATTCTTATCAATGTAACCCTCTTATCGTCAATGAAAAACAAAAGAGCTTTAGTTGTAAGCACACTCTTACCTTGTACGTCTCAATTTTCAGTGTTTCACCAGTATTTTTCTGAAGTGTGTTAGATGTGCTGGAGTATGTGCTGTAGTGGTGTAGTCTCTTAAGAGAGTAGTAAGTGCACTAACAACGGCCTTTCCTCAAGTATAGCTTCAGATCAGTGTGAGCAAGGTAACAAAGGGTTTGTTCAAGAATAGTACTCTTTAAACTGCTTCATTACAACCATTTGGACCACAGAACCTCAAGGCTGTGGTGAGGGTTTCCATGGTAACGTGTGCATTTCTGTGTGTGTGTGTTCCTCCCCTAGGAAAATGGCATCGAGGCAGTCTTCGCTCCTCATCCTTGCCCTGCCTGGACCCTCCCATGGGACAGCTTACCAGAAGCTATCAACCCTGCTGAAGGTAAAGTCAAATCTCTGCCTTGTGGCTCTCCTCTTTGCTTTCTACATTCTCCTGCCCTTCTGCCCTCAAACTCTGTATTCTGCTCTTTTGGCTTGATTCTTTTCCTTTTTGTTTTTAGTTTTCTTGTTCTTGTTCCTAACCATAACCTCCTCCTCTTATCGTTTTTACCTCTTCCATCTCTTAATCGGTATGCCTCTACATCACACCTACTCCCTCAGTCTTCCACCTTATTACTTGGTGAAACAAACACTACTGATACCGTGAAATAAGAGCGAGAAATGTGCGTAAATATTTCCATAAACCTTCCTGTAGTACTGTGGCCTGGTGATTTTCATTGGCACCTTACCGCCCCTTAAAAAAGTATTAGCCACTGACATATCACATAGCTTTCTGTTGAGCCTCAGCTGGATGTTTTCCCCCACGAGGCCCCCCTAATGAATTTTAAAGTGCTTATCTCGATGTGTTATCCTCCTTATGTTGTGGGGTGAAAGTGTGAAAGACTCAGCACAGCAGAAGCGCAGAAAAACATGCACACACTGAAGGCACAAACAACTAATGTGCAGCGTGGAACTTGTGCATACGCCTTAGTGGTTGCTGATTGGACTGAGAGCAGTATCTAATAGGCAGTGGAAGGGCTGTTGATTGCTGCCCCAGGTGGCACTGGTGAAGCAGAGAGAAGAAATCTCAGTGTTTCTTTGTCTCCCTTTCTCTCGCCTGCATTGTTTTTCTTCTTATTAGTGAGATGTCTGTGTTGGTGGCGATGCTAAATGGTATGAATGCACACGGTGGAGTAGCGGCGATATATCAGTGTTACTGTTTATAGGCAAATGGACGAGGTTCATAAAGACACATATAAAGCTAATATGAATATTTAGATGTTTCCTTTTCTCTTCATCATTGTGTTTTGCATTTGTTTCTTGCTCCTCGTCATTTGCACTTATGTGGAAAATTGTCATAAGCAGAAGTTCATTCTCGTCGCTTATTCCTCCACTTATCGGAGAACACGGGAAATTAAAGCTGGAGAGGTGTTTTTATTATCAATATGTATATGGTACCATAAGTTCAGCTTCCTCCCTCTTTTGGATCTCGACTTTGTGCAGGCCCAGCTAGCTTACACTTCATTACCCCCTGTAGTATACTGTTAATGAATGTAAACAACAAATTGTATTGTAAGTGAACTTAAATTTTACTTCTATAGAACTTTTTAGGCCCGTGGTTACAGAGTGCTTCACAGAACAAATACAGGGAATGGTTAAGCAGAGAGAATCAAAACTAAATGGATTCATGCCTCAGTGACTGTGTGCTATGTTACTGTTGCTTTGCTTCAGTTTTCACTGACTATACCAGCTTGTGGTCCATGTTTTACTTATTTTTTCTTTGATTAAAAGAACTGCAGTGATGCTGCAGTGGTGCAGTGGTTAGAATCGTTGCATCACAGCAAGAGGGTGCCGGGTTTGTCGTGTCTACATGATGAAGGATTTTCTTTATCATATATGATATTAAACTGAATACATTTGGGTTGTGGACTGTTGGTCAAAAAATGTATCTAGATCACCTTGGTCTGTGGGAAACTTTAAATGAGGTATATGCAGCATTCAGAGCATATCTGGGATTAAGAGTCAGATTGAGGCTGACTGAACACGGCCCTCGCCATCAAGGTTGCTGAGCCTAACAGTGATACCAAAGTAAACAGTGCTGACAGAGCTCACAGTGGGGGTCAACCTGAAGGTTGGCGTTACGCTTATGCGGGATTTATACTTCTGCATCGAATCGACGCAGTACCCTACACTATAGCTTGACATGCATTTCCACAGAAAAGTAACTATGCATCGTGGTGACGCAGACCTGTCTATTTTTGTAAGCTGAAACCATTTCCCTCAGTGGAAACAAAGCTTTTATTTAATTTAATTTCATAGATTAAAAAAACTATACACTGTGAAGACAATAAAGCCTCCACTAAAATAGCATTTTAAGTCTTGTGTGTGATTTATCCTGGCTTCATATGAGCAGAGGAAATCTCTGCTAGTCGCTAGGCTAATTTATACTATGTAAAATGCCATAGGCTTGTGCTAATATCGTTAGCATGCTATATTTGTTTGGAAAACGTGTTTAGTATAAGACAGCTGTTTTGGCGGTGAACCTTGTGAGTTGTAATGGATACAAATTTTGTAAGGTTGCCTTTCCTAGGGGAAAGTCAGCTAGCTGCTAGGCTAATTTATACAATGTAAAATGCCATAGGCTTGTGCTAAAAACATTAGCATGTTGTATTTGTGAGGAAGATGTGTCCAGCAAAAGACAAGTGTTTGCCTGTGAATGCTGCGAGTTACAGTTAAGCTGATTTGTGTACTTGTGTTTGAAATTGTCTCTATTAAGCCAACTTAACAGCATTTCACAGAAACCCTGACGCTCTGCATAGAGCTGACGCACAAGTATAAATTCCACTTACACGCTTACGACAACGCCGTCCTGCCTCAGTGGGTTATCAGCAGTATTCCTTATGAGCACAATGCACAGCGGCACTGATTTCTTAGCCAGCAGGATACACATACAGGTACTGACATGCACTAACATACACTGGCGACAAGACTGTCTACCACAACAAACTACAGAGAAGATCAGAGTACAACACACATAGAGGCAGTGTGTTTTTATTTTCTAGTCAGGATGCCATTTCTTCACTATATCTTTACATAGCAAATAGTGGTGTGCTGCTGTATTAATGCTCTGAATCTTGTATACAGCGCCTTTAATGGGTATTTCTTACAGTGTTTTGGGCATTTTATTGGCAATTTTAGATACAATTAATCAGTAAGATTAATCAGTCATGAAAACATCCCTATTAATTAATATCACCATGTCTTTTTTTAATTGACTCAGTAAACAACATTCATGACTAACCATTTTTTGTTATGTTTGCCATTTTCTGGTGGTGCAAATATTCCACACATATCAATTCAGTATGACCTCAATTTAAAAGCTCTAATTGGTTTAGGACTGGATTACTTTATTAATCAGGGCTAAGTAAATATACAGTGAAGTCAGCATTATTTGAACACTGACAGTCTTTAAAACTCCTTTGTTGCCATGTCTGCACATTTTGGAGTGTTGAGCCTTCTGCATTGTCCTGAAACACACCCAGTGAGGATGAGAACAGCCTGTAACACAAAAGTATTAGTGGTAGTGTATTATAGCTTAAAGCCAGCACTTAAACCTGATAGTCACAGTTTCATTTCAAGTACAAAGTGCTGGATTAGAGTCAACACAATGAAAAACATTATCTCACTATTTTTCGACTTTAATGTACAAGCTGTAATTTTTACAAGCATTTGCAGCCTTTTCATGTGTTCCCACTGTACAACTTAATAATCTGCCTCTATCCCAAAAACCCCACTGACAGCTAAACAGAAGAGCTCTTGGTGATGTGGGCAGCGTATCTATTCTGAGAAAGAGAGAGAGACCACATTTTAGCCGCCCCACTTTGGCACTCTGCATGATAAACGGCACTGTTGATATCTCCTTCTGCAGTGTTAGGTTTGTAGGTAGGTAGCCCCTGCGTTTCAGTGCTGTGTAATTAAAGAGAACCAGAGACGAAAGGCAGACGATTTGTACTGGGCCCCAGCGCGTGGGCTTTCCCATCTATCTACCTTGCTTATACACAAAATGGTTGTACACATGCCCACATGCACTACAGGAAAAATGTCCCCCTTACGTATGCATTAATATTTCCATACCTGCAAAATTAATATAACACCCACAAGTCTTTGAAAGCTGTCTTATTTACATGTATAAGCTTACCAGTGCATGTACAGTATTTGGGTAGTTCTGTTTCAGCTGTGTATTCCAGAACATTGAATGTAAAATGAAGCAATGACAAGAAGGTAAAGGTGCCGACTTTGAGCTTTAATTTGACCGTTTACATCCAGGTTCACTGAACTGTGTACAAATTTTAGTCCTTTTTATCCATACCCCCAAAGGGTAAAAGAGGTTACAATTTGCACAGCCAGTATGGATGCGAACACTTTTTAAAACCCTTCAAGCAGAAAATCAGCACTTTAACCTTCCTTGTTTTATTTGAAATCCATTATGGAGGTATAGAGCCGGTATTAGGGTTGGACGGTGTCTATTTTTTCATTCCTTCTTACCTTCCTGACATTTCAGCAGAATATATAGTATATAATGGTATTTGTGTAGAAAACAAAACAAAAAACTAACGTTAAAAAAAAAGAGAAAGACGAGCTGCTGGTGATAGAATTCATTGTAGCATGTGTGAGATTGTCTTGCCAATAATGTAGGGCTGGGTAATATTTTAAAATTTTCCAACCAGCCAGTGTCAGCCCAACAATAGGCCATTGCCTACATATGTAAACATGCAAGTGTGTTTCTCCTCATAAATAAATGGTCCAATTGTCAAATAATAAACAAAATGAAATCACAAAATATCATAAATAAACATATTGTCCTTATTAAACTGAAAAATACAACCCCACACCTTCAGAAGTCAAGTTTGTCTTTCATCAAACCAACACTAGCCTATTTGCTGTTAACTCATCATAAAACATACTTTATTTAAACTCGACAGAAACAAAATAAATCTCATTAAAACCATCTCGCGTAGTCTTTTCACTGTTCCAACAATTACCAGCTCTGATTCGGTTGAAATAAACCCTCAATTCACCGAGTTAGATGTGGAAAATAAGCTGCTACATGCTATTTTTCCCGCTGTTTCTCTCTGCGGTTGCTGATTGGCTTTTCATTAGTCCTGTTACGTTATCCCCACCACTCACAGTCACCATCTTTCTCAGCTCAGCTGCCTGTTCCACCAGTAGTGACTGACCTCTGGTGGCACATGCTGTGCATTACAATATGTCACCACAATACAGCATCTCCCTATCAGTTTAATATCAAGAGGAGTGTCTGTATTTTCAACGGTATTAAAAATCACACCTTCTGGATTTCTAAATACCCTGGTATACCGTAGTACTGTGATACTGCCCAAACCT